ATACACAATGCAGCTTGTCATCTCCAACTCCCAGCTTCTGACTCCTTCCCAAATTTACATTCCACAGTCCTTAACAGGAAACATCATCTTAACCAAACATCTCAGTGAGCTGCAAGCTCTCCGTAAAACCTGCACTGTGCCGTGCATTGGGGCTGCACTCCTTAAGAAAAGCTCACAAGCGTTTATTCGTTAACAAACGACGTGTCCATTTGTGTGGCTGAACTCTCCTTTTTGCTGCCTGATCCCTCTGTAGCCAATGCTGGACTTCCCAAACAATCTGCATTGGTGGTTTTCAACTGGTTTCTCTCATCTTCCAAGGCAGAGATAAATGACCCTTGTAGAAACTCCAAACAAATAAGAAAAGAAGTGCAAAACCGGCCCCCAGGAGTTGTAAAACAACCTTCTCTTTTTGTCTGTCCACAGCTTTCTGTTTTGTTGCCTCTTTCAGTAAAGAAGCTGGTACTGAAGACTTAAAACCCTCAGCTCCTGCTTCGTTGTACTTATTTGTTGTGGCATTAATATTTGTCTTCTCCGTATTTTGATGGACATAAAGGGCACAGCAGGCCCCAGTGATAAGGAATTCCTTCCCTTTGGATTTCTCTACTGAGAGACAACCAGAGAATCCAGCCTCATCCATTATCACATTAAATTTTGGTATTCCTCCATCACAGAGGAGGTGTTTAGAGTCCTTCTCCTGAAGTCTGCTCCCATTAAACTTCCACACTACTCTTGCCAGATTTGACAGAGGAACACATTTAAGATGAACATCGTTTTTCTCATCTTTCTTAGTTCAAAAGTAATAAACAGCATGATTTTAATTCTGTGGTTTTCAATAATGTAGGAATTCCAGTGACCACAAACTGAAAACGTTTTGATATTTTGATTGCATAATGTTAAAATGTTCTTTCTTTCAACAAATGCTCACATACCTATGTTAAGGCATCTGGACGCATCCCCGTATTTCAAACTTTGAATTAAATTCCTGGGGGAACGCAAAAATAAAAACCAAACAGAGACACACACACGAACAAAAAAAAAAAAAAAAAAAAAAAAAAAAGTGTTTCAGCTTGTGCGATGCCATTTCTAGGAATCATCCTGAGTTTGTGTTGCAGACAGCAAGAGTGCACTTATAAATCAATCTGACATCAGGTGTGCAGGTGAAACAACAGCACTTTACTTTGTATCACCAGTTTGATTTGCCAGTAGAACACCTTCTTTAGGAGACAGACCATGCACAGTAAGGATCTCTTGCCAAGATGCAATCCAAGCAGTGCTTGTATCGGTGGCACACAGGAGCTGGCAGCTGGATCCTACATAGAGCATTCCCTAGAAACACAGGAGGGAGTTCTTGTTTTACAATGGCAGTGAGATCTTAAGCTCCTATTTTCTAACATGAATTATAATATTTTTGGTATTTATTAAAAAAAATAAATCATTAACTAAAAAGCTTATAAGAATAAATGGCAATACAAATTAGAAAAAAAAAAAACAGCTTTGTAAACAGCATGTAAAATGTCAGAGCTCCTTCCTTATTTTTTTAATGATCATAAAGGCTTGTTTCAGTTATTTTTTGACACACACAAAATTCTACAGATAAGAAGATGTACTGTGCTTCTGATATTAATGAATATGTGACAGAAGTAGAATTATGAAGCATTTACAGACTATTTAAAAGTCAGAACAACGCAGAAGAGCAAGGCCTGAGGCAAGCTATTACAGCAGTCACTTTCCATATGCAGGGACAGAAGTTCTACCTTTTTACAAGACAGCTGGAGAAATGGCACAGTCTCAGGGGACAGAAACAGCTGTAGCTCTTCCACAATGAACATTTCTCCATCACAAGTGAAAGCTTTATGTAAATATCCGTCATCTACATAAAAAGAAATGTATTTTTAAAGATAAACTTGTCTTAACATTGCATAACGTTGCAGCCTGATAACTCATGATGAAATTAGATGGAGATTTAGAAGACATTCCTAGGCATAAGGAATTTCTGAAATTCTTCAAAGCACTGTTTATTTTTTATTTCAGTAAGGGAGAAGCAATGACTTTTTTTTTTTTTTTTTTTTTTTCCAGGAGAAAAGACCTCAAACAATCCCTGAATTTGCAAATATCATTATGTGAAGCCTCCTTTGATATGGAAAATTTCTAAAGAGAGCCTTTTAATGTCCAACAAGCCAAAAACATTTAATCTAACTGGTATGAAAATATTAAACTAGCAAGACAGCATCTGAATGCAAAACTTCAAACACAGCTAATGAATACTTCTACTTTTTTGAAGTCTCCATAAAAATTCTGCTACAAAATACATAAAAATGAAAAGTATCATTTGCTAAAATAAAAACACTTACCTGTTCCTAGAAACATAACATCGTATGTTTGTTTATCTAGGCCAGTGACTCTGTCTACTACAATCCTGGTGTAATTTGAATTTCTCTTCAGTGCACAAGCCTATTACCGAATGGATTTACAGAATTATCCATTAGAGGGTGATCTCTAACAAACTGCAAGACTTTGTCAGGCAAGTCAGAAGAAGTATTATATCCAATACTCTGGGCAAAATTATCAATGCACTAGAAACAAAAAATAACAAACATGATTACAATTGCTGTTACATTTCAGAAAGGTATATAAAAATGCTGACTTTCCTTCGAGACATTTAGTTATTTCAACTAAACTTTGAAAGACAAAAATCATTATTTTCCTCACAGTCTACAAACTAGTTAATAACCCCACATTTCTTGCAGAGCATAACTGTAAGGTAGCTTTTCTAAGAAATTGCCTATAACAGAATGTGAAAGCATGAGTTAACATAACATTGGTTACCTTCATTTTTATAAGACATGGTCAACTGTGCCCCTTTTATAAGATTTCATAGCTATTACTTATATTGATACTAATCAGAACTATATCCTACTCTGATGGCAAGTCCAAGTTATTACCAGCAAACAATGCATTTATTTATTAGTTTTGCACTGAGTTTGTGATTCTCATTTGCAAGCTGAAATGTTCTGGATTTTCAGCAGGGTATCTAAGTATGATTTTACAAAGAGTAAGAACTAGTGGGAGCATTTTGCAGCAGTCAGCTACTTTAAGGGTCGAAGAAAAATCATCGCTACGACCGCTTTCTTCTCTACAATAATTCACCAGTTTCTATATGTATTATAAAGTAATATATGTATACAAATCAACCATGCCATGAAAAAAGAATTTATATTTTATTAAACTAATTTCAATCAGATACTCTTGCGCCTGAAATTTTGGCAGCACACCTAAAAGAATATGCCCCCCAGCCAACTGAAAGCAAAATTAAAGCTAGGTAGTGTCATCTGCAATTACAGAAACCACAAAGTCAGATTCCACATCTGCTTTCATGAAGGGAATCTCTGTTCTGTTTGCACTTTCATCTGGTGGCAACGCCAACAGCTGAGGAAACTGTTCACATTAACATAAGCCAAGTAAAATATTGTGTTAAAATAGTTTTAAATTAATAAATCAGGTTGGAAACTTCAAAATACTATTAAATAACTTGTGTTTGACCCTGTACTGTAATCCAGCGTGTGATTCTGCACAGGTATTGCCCATGCCTGTAAGTGCCAAAATGTTTTCTTGGCCACCAGCAGAGGCCTCCTTCGATGTGACTGTGCTATTTGGGAACAGACGTTTTCCACACCCTTCAGACTTTCCCGTGACCAGCTTTGCTCACAGCACCTGGCAGTAAACGACACCAGGCGCTTGTGACCATCCCATCCCATTGTTCTTTCTGTGGAAAAAAAAACTTAATTTGCAGCCCGGATTCCCATAGCGCGTTGCTCCAACCCCTTCCCTGAGGGGCATTGCTGGGCGGCACCTGTGGCGCAGCGGAGCAGAGGTGGCCCAAGCCTGAGGGACAGAAGCAGGGCCACCCAGCCACACCACAACCATCACCCCATGGCCCCACAGGGGATAACCCCAAACCCTGCACCCCACACTGTGACCCCTGAGGCCAGCCATGGACCCCGCTCCCACCCCCCTAAGATGGCCGCAGCGCCTCAGGGAGCGGCGCTCCTGTCACAACCCCACAGGCTGTGACCGAGGCCTGGGGGCCGTGGCCGCTCAGGGTCCCCACACCGGGCGCCGTGAGAGGACTTCAGAGGAAATAGAAGGAAAATCCCACTCCCTGGTGCCTAACGAAGCCCCTCGTTCCCTCTGGCTTTCCTAGTGCATGCTTCTCCAGCACCGTGGTGGGGCCAAGGTGTGGAAGTGACTGGTGGCAGGCGGCAGGGACAGCTGCTTTTTATTTCTCTTCTCTCTGTGCCAAATTACACCCAGAACAATTTGTCTTCTTTATTAGTAGTAGTAGCAGTATTTAGTATTTATTATATAGTATCATATAGTGGTTACACATAGGATTAAATGGTGAGTTTGGGAGGTGCATCCACATCACATATGTACACATCTGAGAAGGGATCCGCATCCTCAGAGCAACTTACGTGTCACTGCCAGCACTGAACAGGAACAGTTATTTCACTGGAGTTTTCTGTATGTGGTGTACACGATAAATCAGAACTGCACCAAACTGCCTTTACTACCCTTCCTCCCACTAACAATGGAAAATAGCCCACAGTAACTGCTGAGGCAAATAAAGCCAGAATTTATGGATTGGGACTTGTCAATTCTCTCTCATTTTAGATTGTTTTTCAAAGTTCTGATTTCCTATCCAACAACAGTTCCAGTTTCTGAAAAAGGTCTTGTAAACTGTTGAAAGATGGGAACTTTTGTTAATCCCATGAATGAAATAGTCTGTAACAGATAACTGCCAAAGAGGAAGTTGTTTAAAAATAGGATTTTCTTCCTTTGTATTTGCCGCTTTTCCATTGCTTCATTACCTAGGGGCAGGATAATGAGATATGACTTCCCTCTCAGAGCAAAGCCTTGGCTAGGAAGTGATTTTCAAGGAAATTAGCACAACTTTCTAATGACGTGAATTAGGCACCAAAGACTGAAGAGAACACACTGTGTGCTAGCACTTTCTTAAACAGCAGTAACTTTATTGCCCACAGATAATGCAAACATTTTCCACACTTGCTGCAATCCAGCAAGTTACCTACTTAACAAGGTTCACAAAAACTAGTTATTTCCGAAGTACCCTATTGTTCTTTGAGCATATTCTCATTTCAGGTGTTTATTATTGCTCAAATCTACAGTCTGGTTGTGATTGGCCACTCAGTCATGAGATATGCAGAATGACAGATGGTACAGCACTTCCAGGAGATCATTTTCAATTAGAAAATATACCTGCTTGTAGGATAGAAAACAATCCAAAATAACAGTATTTGAATTTCTGAGTCCAGACTTTCTTTGGGCACCATACATCAGGATAAACTTTAAAGCAGAACGGAATATCAATAGAAAAAAAAATACTGTACATTGATTTTGAGAAGTAACATCTCAGCACAGATTAAGTGTTCACACTAAGGATGCTGTAGTGTTGTCTAAAATAAACAAACAAAAACCAATAAATAGGAAAAATATCACTGATATTACACCAAAGAAAAGCCTTGAAGGCAAAAAAAAATCCATATTACTCCAACACAATTACTCCAAACAGTGTATTATTTATTAACTATAGTTCTTTTACTCTGTTAGAGCACCTCCCCCAAAATGGGGATCTCCTTATTTCTCTCCAACGAGAGCAAGCATCCCTTCTTCTAGAACCAGGTCCTTAAATATAATAAATTGTTGAAGGCAAAGGAGGAAAAGGAAGAAAAAGGCATAGCCAGGACTTCAGCTTGTCTAGTAAAGCATGCCACAGCTGTCAGTATAAAAGCAAGGGACAGGACACCTAGCCGGTATCTTTAGCAAAATAAACACTCTCACTTCACCTCTAAATAGAAGGTGGCTGCACAATTGTTAAATTTCATTTTGTTGCAATTTTCCCCCTCATATCCTGTCTTATAAAGGAATTTGAATTTAAAGGCAACAGTAAACCACACACATATACGTAAAGAGAAAGCTTTGCTCTCCCAAAGTCAGTACATAAAGAAAATCAGAGAGACAACTAATTCCTGGGATATGGGAATAAAAGGTAAAACTCTTGCATTCTGACTGGGGCACCTTGGTTTTGGCATTCCTGTGGAGTAACACTGCTGTGTATGGGTTTAAAGCACTGGAAGCCACATGAAACAGTGACTAAGAAATGATTTTAGTGGGTATTCTCAACAGAAACACTTAGCAGCACAGAAACAGAGGGACCTTCCTTCCCTCGTACACTATAAAATCCTGCTTTACACTAATGTAACACTGCATAATCTCAATTCCACTTGTTAGTGCCAAAAATGATGCATATCTCTTACAGATGGCCAAATTCACAAGCAAAACATTTAAACCAGAAATTGTTTAGTTCTACATTTATTGCAGATATTAAAAGATTAACAATGCTAACATGTTTACTTACACTAAAAAGAAATGTCAGTTATCCAATAACATAAGCAGCTAATGTTACTAGCTAAGCACTACTGCCAATTTGCACGGAACAGAAACTAGCAAATTGCTCTACAAGATTAATGGAGAAAAAAAAAAAAAAACAAAAAAACAACCAAAAGACAGTAGACACACCACTGAAGTTAGTTAAAATGTTCACTGAAGCTTGCAGTCTTCATGGAAGAGAGCCTGGAACTAAAATAACAGAAAAGAAGCTAGTAAACTTTAAACAAGGCAATGTATCTGCATAACAAACGTTTCACATGTACACGTATTTAAATTTTCAAATCAGAGCTGCCTGCAAAAGCAGGACAAAATATAAGGAAATTCCTTTTGGAAAAGGAGCGTAGGGTCATCTCTTGGTAACACAAGATAAAAGTGGCAAACAGCAACCCACTTTGAGAGCAACACTGGAATCTCAGCACCAATACTGCTCTGCTGATATCTCGTCCAAAATTAAAGTTTGGCACAAGAAAGATAGACCACACTACAGTCATCCAGGGTAGCAGATTAAGATTTTCCCAATGTTCACCTTTATTTTCAAGACAGCATTACACTCTGAATTGCAATCAGAAAGGAAGGTACCATTTTCCAATCTGGATACCAAGTTTTCCCAGATTGGGTAAGCAGGTGTTTAGCAAATGCACCCCAAACGGTACCATGCCCAACAAACTCGGGTTAAATCAGAGTATCACAGAATGCTGATCTGGGCGAGAGTGGATTTCAATCCAAAGTGAAACTGCACTTTGCCTTGTGCCTTTTTGCAAGGAGTGTAACATATAATCAAGACTGCTTCCAAAATGTGAATGTCAAAGAAGAGGTGAACTGGAAGTTTGCAAGGAAATACAAATCGTGAACAGAAATACTGGCAGCTTCATCAATGAAACTAAAAGAACAGCTTCTGAGTGGATCTGAGAAATAGCTCAGAAGCCAACAATATTGGTTCCAGATTGTCATTCTAAAACAGGCTGTGACTGACAGATCTCCTTTTTGCAACGCTCGAGTTTTTACATTGCATAACTGCTAAACAGGCACAGGAAAGAAAGAGAGGCAGTGAAGAACAAACCCAAATGGGAACATAACAGATAAGTGTACACTGCCAAATACCGTAACTGATAAACTTTAAAGTAGCCTGTGGTCCAAAATATAAATGGATTTTAAGTACTTCCAAGTAAAGCCTACGAGAACCCCCTAACCTATCCTTTAATCAAGTTTAATAACCAGATAAATTCATTTGTATTTCTGGCCTTCATGCTTCAGCTTCTTGCAATGTAAAGGTGAAGACACGTGATGCTCATGGAAAAACAACTACCAGCATGATATTTTTCTACACCTGCCATTATGGTTTTATTTACTGATCATGTGCTTCAAAGCAACTAAAACTGAGTGATCAGAAAATTACACCATGACATGATATTGTTTCTTTTGGTTTCACAGACTCATACTGTAAAGAAAAAAACAAGCTTGCATTTGTAACTAGAACTGGTTGTTACAGGCAAGAAAAGTTTGTTGCTACAGAATGAAAACGAAGACACTCCCTTTCAACCAGCAGGCTTTTTAATAGAGAGAGTATAATTTTGTTCTTTAAACAGCAGGTACAGGCAAGTTGATAACTGAAGAGCACATTTTCTTGCGTATTTGTCAGTTAGAAACTTGAGATGCTGCCACGTTACTGTGGGGTGCTATTAGTGGTGTACCACAAGCTCTTTGCTCTGCAAGAAGCATGATACAGGATGAAAACATCAGCACTCAATCCTAGTAAGCAGAACATGCGTCAGCTCAAGATAAACTCTTTAAAGAGAATGTCAGTGAAGTAGGTTTTGGTACTGTAACATTCAAGTGAAGACTTTTGACTTGTTTGAGAAAGGAGTATGCTAAAAAGTGTGATATTACATTCTGTCACTTTCAGTAATCCAGTCACAGATCTCTCTCTTATTGATGTGCTAGCCTGAAAAAGATGAATGATTGGACCTTGTGGTAACACTGCTAAAACTTTCATGTCTTCAGAGCTGCTTCACCAAGAAGTTAGGAATTGCTTTTTGTTGAAGCAGAGTAGATTAATCCAGTCTTCTCTTTCAGTATGTTCCGGAATAGTCCCTCAGAATGACAAGCTTTTTGTCTTATTTCCTGGGATTTTTTCCAATCAAGAACTTCTGCAAAACAAATGTTTAATAGAAACAGAAATAACTCTCTGAACTGATGGTCTTAAAAAACCGATGCTCCGCTTCTGATTATCTGACTTCCAAGTATCTTCCTTCAGCATTTTCTGCAGACAAATGGACTGCACCTGGTCATGACTTAAAACTTCTTTGAGAAGGAAAGAGATTACTCAAGAATTTGCTGGACAAGAGCTGCAAATTTGTGTAAATCAAAAATTACACATAAAATATGTACTGCTTGCTTGCTACAATGGAAAACCTTAGCAGCTGAAGTTTTCAAGGAAGAGTTTAGCGTTCTCAGACTCAGATGAACTGAGTTATTCATCCTACACTTATAATATAGAATCCTATATAAAATAAGTACACAGGTAGAGATTCTTCTTGAAATTGGTGTGTAGAGGAAAAGAAACTGCTTTATGCAGACTCCAGAAATGAATCAGAAGATTAGCCCATCAACAAAATGTAGTAAAATATAAACTGGACTGCCTTGCATTAAGATCTGAATTTCTGAGAAGGTTCTTGGCTTCAGAAAGGAACAGAGCTGAAGCAGGCTAGTCATGTTGTTTTGTAGTAAGCCATCTCATCACAAAACAGGCAAACTTGGCCAAAGAGAGAGGTAAACAGGCACTTCCGAGAACAAAATCAGTTGTTTCTTCCTCAGAAGATGACATCCAAGTTGTTAGCTTGCACAATTAAATACAAGACTAACTTTAACCTTGGAAAATGTTTTAATACATTAGCGTTCAAGTCCACTACTACAGAACAAATTGTTCTTCATACTGGCATACTCTGCTGAAGATCTTTCACACAGCAGCCTTTGCATATCCATGCACTTTCTAGTGAGCGAGTCTCTTTATGTCATACCTAGAAAGTAAGATTTGGGGTAATTCAGCAGTTCAAGGTAGGGCTGGATTTTCTTGAAACGTTAAGGAGCCAGATAAACCCATGGAAACAACCATATTTTCTTGGTAAGGGAAGACTAAAAAAAAAAATAATGGTATTTTAATCTTTGCAGGAATTCACAAACCAGACTTGCCCATTGCACATACCTATTTACTTGCTCTTTTCTGCCTGTACATTTGTATCATTCTTTGACGGAAAACATCAAATGCATCTTCTTTATTTTCTTCCCCTGCAACACCCAAGCCCTCCCCTGCAGAGGTAGCACCCCTAGGGAGTAAAATGAATAGTTAGAACACACTGTTTCCGTTACATTTGACAATGTGCAGAAGAGATCTTAACAATACCTTCCAACAGACACAATTCGAGTGGAAAGTACCTCTGCTTCACTTGGGGGGAGGAAGAGAGCAAAGGCTTGGTACCTGACATACCAGATCAACTATAAAATAATGCCCACCTCCCGTTACACATGCAAACACCCACTAGAAGAAAATGTTCCTACCATATTAAGGGAACAGCATAGATAGAATCATCTAACAGATCAAATTCTTACATGAATTTTTGTATTAACCACTTTATTCATGGCAGATAGGATTCTCTGTTGAAAAGATGGTGAAAATTGCCTCGTTTCTTACAATTCAAAAACTGCAGAAGTCAGAGACATTGAGGAGTAAGTAGGAAACACCACTAACTCTGCATGAAAGATGAAATTTTTACCAAGGGAACATAATGCTGCTTGCCTGAGATTTCTAGTACCCCAAGCAAGCTAAAGTCTTGCACAACAGACACCACAGACAAAACCTGGAGGTCCTGCCCTTTCAAGAAAAAAAAGTCATTAACTCATCTCTCTTCATCCAAACTTGCCAACAGAAGCAGACAGGCCTCAACTATATCAAAACAGCTTTTTACCCGGGAAGCAGATGGGAGAGGATGACCCACAAGAACGCAGAGACACAAATAATTAACAAAAACATCTCTTTCTCCAGGCTATTTGCATAGGCCATACCCATTACCAAGCTAAGATTAATGAAAACTCTGCCACAGGAATGGAACCCCGTGCCAGCTTTATCCTCCAGGTCAGTTACGTAAGTGTTACCTATTAGAGATTTAATTACATGAAGTAGGAAAAACTTCTCAGATTGCCCCATGTACTGAAATTAATCTGAGAATCTTAGAGAAAAATGGTTCTTATCTAAGTTCTGTAATAACAGGTCCACTTAAGCCAAGTAGGTTGTTGTGCAAGTCTAAAAGAACATTCAAAGGCTCTGAGATGGAAATTCAACTTTACAGTCCACAGCAGAAATCCTGGATGCTCTTTTTATTTCTGAATGGTACTTGAGTCTGACATTGCAGCTGTATGAACAAGTAAAGTCACATTTTAAATTACATTTAGAAGTAAAGCCCCTAAAAGATCCTCTTGATTTCTTGGTCTAATGAAGGCCTATTGTTCCCACAATATGCTCCCTGCATTTAAGGCCTTCCCAAAAAGAATTCGACAGCTTACAGAATACCAAATACCTTATATATACACACTCTTAAAACACTTATTTGAACTTTTTTTTTTTTTTAAGAGCATGAATTCTTTGAAGCAGACACCTCATTTGCTGATTCCATTACATAATGGCTGCTTCATACTTCCAATTAGAAAGAACGCTTTTTTTTGTTGATGGTTACACTATAGTTCCTCTTCTAGGCTACTTTCAGAATAAAGAAACTAATCAAAGACATAAGATAATTACTCACTGGAATGTCTATTCCACAACAGTGTTCTGCCTTTAAGTGGGTGTGTTTTGTTTTTTTCTTTGTTTTGGTTTTAGGATGCCTCTTGAACTATAGAATGGGCCATAATTTTTCCAATAAAAACGAGCCTCAGGTTCCACTAACAACTGATGTGCCTCCATGTATCAATTTTAGATACCAGCATTATATAATGATCAAGATAAGCTCTATGCTGGGATTGGAGTGGCTACGATTATTAATCCTTCCCGTTTTGCTCAGAGGAGATAAGACAGCACATGGACTTTTAAACAAGTCATCAGTAGAAGAGCTGGGAGGAGAAATGGGGAGGAAAGTGTAGAGGCTACAGGTTGCTAAGTGAAAAAAAAACAACAGCACTGTATCAAAGCAACAAACAAGGGAATGCAAAATGTTAAGTTGCACTGGTTTCATTCTCACTGAGAATGTATTGTTCACAGAATGACTTCAGCTGGAAAGTAAAGAGAGGTAGACACCGTGAAAACAGTCAGATATGGACTTACCTCTTTGTTACAGAAAAAGTAACCAAGTTTTTGTAAGGGGTACAGAAAGCAGACCTTCACTACTTTGGAAAAACAGTATTTTCATATACTAAATTGCAGTTCTTAACCACAGCCAGAAACTTTTAGAATGTGAGGGACTAACTGTCAGATAAGCTACAATTAGCCTACGATTAGCTGTGCAGCAAGACTTGTGCTTTAGAAATGAAATAAAATTACTATTATCTTTGGTCCCAACAAGTTCTGAAGTTAAGAACCCGAGGTTCTAAACATTTGTGATCACCAGACAGCCATAGGAGAGGTGCACTGCTCTGTCATTGTCCATTTGCTGCAGATAAAAGATCGATGGAAAAAAAAGTAATGGCCACGAGACCACAGGGAGCCGTTAAGAAGAAAGGAAAACAAACAACTGGAAGTGTGCCACCAATTAAAATGACCAATACTGTGAAAAGCATGAAAAGAAAATAGAAATCCCTGCAGAAACCAGAATGTTAACCCACAAACTATATGCATGGACTTGAGAGCTTAGCAGATGGGTTTAGATAGAAATAAATTGATTCTGCCTCCTTATTCAGTCAGAGAGTTGAAGGAGATATTATCCGTTCTCTGTGCTGGCAGCAGTGGACACTGGATACAGCAACTTTAAAAGACAAAACAAAGATTCAAAAACAAAACTACACTTAAAAGGAAAAAACACACTTACCTTGCAGATGCACTTACCTCTTTCAGCATGCAGTGGAATGCATTACGTATTTACAGTGAAAATATTTTTGTTGCCTACATCTAGGGAGTACTGTTTATAATATTCCTAAAATCTATTTATGTGTTATGTATGTACCTAGCACGGCAGCAAGATTCCCAGGATAATACTAGGTGTAAAAAAAATAAATAAATACACCAAACAAAACACCTCCTGAATAACAGAGGCACACAGGTATCTTTAGAAGTGTCCACACCCTGCAGCATTCACACTGCAGCCTTCAGTGATGTCAAATTGCACAGCAAGGAACAGCCACCTTCCAGACCACACTTTGCCCAGCCTGGCCAGAAAAATGCGTGGAGTCTCCACGCTCAACTTTGCTGAGGCCAGAGGCCAACATCAAGAAGGAAACAAAACACGGAACTGGCCACATCAAGGTGGGTTAGATTAAAATAGTTGCTACCAGAATCCCAGCCTTTTTCACAGCTGTCAGATTTCTGTATTTTGTTCCCATTACATACACTTTTACAGGCTCTCTGATTCCTTTTCCTCGTGTACCCAGGCCATGTCCTTCTTGCCAGCCCATCTTCTGAAGCATCTGGAAACCTACATTCCTGTTTGTCAGTTTCTTGTGTGAAAATTCTAAATCTTTTGGTTTCTGTGGGGAGGAAAAAAATTTTAAAAAGATTTTGTTGTTAGTATAGAGGAAGATAATATATTAAAAATTAATCCCCCCCAAAAGCGTATAAACTAATTGTCTTTAAGATTCTGGAAATGCAAAATTATGTTTTAAGCAGCACTTCCTGTAGCCACACAAAAAAGTCTGAGAGTAAACATCTGTATTGCTAGTTTACCAAAAAAATTATATATATATATATATATATATATATATATATTTCGGGTTCAGAATCTGTTTAATTACATTATTAAAATAGAGTACACTTTCATATTTTAAATGGTAGTTTTGTTTTGTTTTTTTTATTAACAACCACTAAACGATCTAATGACTGAATCCATACTACAAATACAGCAGCAGGCAAATGGTATTTCATTAAATGTTCTAAAAAAATTACATTTTCCAGACAGCAATGCACTCCTTTCTTTCGTAACACACAGCTATTCAATAGTGCTTTAATCATAGAATGTTTAATTTCGACAGAGGACAAGATAACAGGAGTCATGGCTCTCTTCAGATTTAGTCTTTTTGAGAACCAGGCTTTTACGATTTTAATTTGAATTTTTGACAATAACACATTTTCAGAGGCTATTTCCTACAAAGACAGTTGATTCTCAGAATGCAACGGCAAACCAGAAGAGTTCTTTACCTTCTTCTTCTTTGTAACTGGGCAACCACGAGGCCTATCATAAGCAATTCTGACAGGTTCGTGCACTGCAAGTCAAATCAAAGACAAGAATCAGCTGTAAAGAAAACCAATTTTAATATAGAATTCAAAAAGTACATGCTCTAGTGGAACTCTAACTCAATGCCTTGGCCTAAGGCCAGAATCATCAAGAAAGATCAAAATGAAAAAAAAAACACCACCCAACGACAACAACAACAAAGAGTCAGACAACTCCCCTCTGCCCCCCAAACTACATAAAAAAAAGGAGAATCAAGTGCATTCATGCATAGAGTTTGGGATATATCTTGCCAGCAATACACTGATGGATGATAAGGACTTTAGGCCTTCCTTTTCCATGAGCTTCTGTAATACTCTGACAGAAAATTCAGACTGGACCTATATGGGGTTATTGTATATCATTTTCATATCACAAATGACAGCCTTCACCAATAAATATCATTACACAGAGAAAACACATTTGTTAAAGCAGCTGCAGAGCACATATGATCAGCTTTAAGCTACTTATCTCTCAATTTTTAGGATATCATGACCCACCTCCCTGCTGTGGCTGTATTGACAAAATTTAGCAGGCCAATCCAAAGTCTAAATATATTTATAGAGTTGTCAGATACTCAAAATGTGTTCAGTGCTATACTTAGGCCTGTTAAACCTGTCATACACTGATGAACTGAAACCTGCAAAAATTACTACTGTGGGTTTTTTAAGCCCCAGAAAAAAGATAACATTCACATACATCAGAGGTAACTGAGGAATGATGTTTTACGCAGGTAATCTCTGTCTCAAATAACAAAGTTTGCTATTATGCCACAATACAAAAAAAAGTCACACCATTTATTCAGAATTTCCTTTTCCATCTCAAGTGAACACTGTATTCATTTTTGTTAATCTTTCAGCCAATAACAATCGGTAACAAAGTACATAAAAGGCACAAATTCTGTACTGATATGCACAAAACTTACTTGTAGCACTCACCTTTTGGTTCTTCTATGAGGCATATCCTTTTAGAGGCAGGAATCATACCGACTTTCAGAGACTTGCTGCTGATTCGTTTGCGGGGAAATAAGGTACCAGGAGCAGGAGTTGATGCCTGTGTTGACAGATTTGGTATAGCACCATCAGATGATGTAGCTAGCTGCTTTTCACCTGTTGAAATTTCCTCTCCTGTCTTGGAAATCAACTCTTCAGCAAGGTTTTCCGCACTTCTACCTGCTGAGATATCATCCTCTTCTCCCTCCTCTGCTTGCTCGATTTCTTCCAAAGGTCGAGAAATATCCTCTTCAAACTCAGCTTCCTCCTCATTGTCTTCCTCCTCTTCTTCTTCATCTTCCTCCTCCTCCTCTTCTGAAATATCCAAATTTCTCTCTTCAGGTTTAGCATTTTCCCCAGCATCGGTTGCTTCTGGCACAGCACTGAAGTTGATAGATGGACATAACTCATAGACTTTCATGCGGTAAAATTTGAAAGCAGAACTGCTACGATCCTGTAGAAACCTGGACAAAAATTACAGTGAAAACTAGTATCAGTAAGATTTTCTTATCTACAAGCAAGATACTATAAATAAATCTCTTATTAGCTTTTTGAATAGTCATTCCAGATGTTTTTGAAGAACTGTAGGATTCCCCTACAACATGTGCTAAGTACAGCAGTCATTCTCCTTAGCTCTTAAGAGGTGTGGTTCCCAAATTGCATTGTGAAGAATTTAGTACAATTATCTTCATTATGCAGATGGACAAACTAAGACAAAAAGCTAGCTCTAGATCACCCAGAAGGCAAACAGCAGACCCCAGAAGAGAATTCAGGCCTTCCAAATTTCAGTTATGTGGTGTATGTAGAAATAGATTTATTGATTCTGAGGGAGACAGAAAAAACAACAGGGCTCCAATTTTGTTGGCACAGTACAACTAGAAGTGAAAGATCTGTGCTAATTTATGCTGGGGCACATAGGCCATTGTAATCAAAGCCTCATTTAAAAGAAAAAATAAAAAAGATTGAAAACACTTTTGGCAGAACACTTATTTCAAGATGCAAGCTGACTACTTAGGATACAAAAGAAAAAGAATAAATATTTCAGTATACGTGCATTTTGGAGAAATGATTTTCTTTCTTAGTTATTTTGGACATTTACCATTAATAGAGGTGCTGAACAGGACAAGAGGAAGTATTGCTCAAAATCCTCCATCCCTAAACATATCAAATAAAAGCATGCGTGTCAAAAAAATAATAAAAGGAAATCTCACTTTAAAAATCGTTTAGCTATATTTTGATTTTTCTTACTGGTCAGACAGATAAACGTGTAGGTTACTCACCACAGATCTGGGTTATCTGCACTGTTGTCTATGCTGAACTGCTCAATTTCTGGTCCTACCTGAGCAACAAACTTGGCAAGCTTCTCAGCAGTTTCCATCGTTTTAGCATCCACTGCAGAAAACAGAACACTCCTTATCTACAGAGCCATACAAAACCTACATCACTGGAAGGTCAGCACAGTTTAGAACTATCTGCTTTCACAGAACAAATGATGATTAGAATTTCCAGTTTAATTTGCAGTTTAAAATCTAATCCTGAACTGTCACTTACCATCAGGAAACTGAGAGGGCAACGGTAGGAAAAGTTCAGATGGTGCCAATAAATCCTCAGAATCCGCCTTTTCTTCTGCTGGCAGAGGGGCCTCTGAACTGGTGGCACATTGCAAAGATGAGGTTGCATCAAGAGAAGAATTCTTCTCAGATGTGTTGGTTTCTGACATAGAAGGCTTTGATTCGACTGAACTCTGAAGATGCTTGTCCTGGTGTTTCAGCATTGTGCCAGCTGAAAGCACGGTCTGTGTCCCTATGGTTGCTCTCCTCACCTTCCTTCCTCGAATTCCATGTTGTGCAATAATTCCCAGCCTTTTCCTTTTAAATAGCCTTCTCTTAATACTTGCGACTTTCCTGGCATACAACATAGCTCTGACCGATTCTGTTGCAGCATCTTCTAGTGTTCTGCCCTCACCACCTGCCTCTTTTCCCAATGATGTCCGTCTCTGCACCTCTGATAACTTCAGCCTGTAGTACTTGTATTCTAGACTATCTTCATCAGACAAGAACCTAAATAAAAAGAAAATTATACACATAAAACAAAGCCTAAACCTGAAAGCCTAAGAGGCAACTTCATTTCGAAAGCAACAAGTAAATATAAAGTCTGCCAAGCAAATAAATGATGGAAGGTTTTGACATAAATCTGTTGGCTTGTAATTAATCAGCTATGCTGCAATTCACACATGGAGCGACACTGTCATATTAAAAGATTATTACACTTGGAAGCATCTCAGCTTTCATTTTCCAACATTACTTGTAGAACGCTAGTAAGTCTGAAATGTTACTATATATTTATTTTAACCGCATTCGTTTAATATTTTCACCTTGTAAATGTAAATCATTTTGAGTACCTTGAACTTGGATTGACATACAGTCATTCTTGACAGATCAAAAGGAACGAGGTCTACTACACAAAACAGGAGCAAGAGGACAATTTCCAGGGACATTAGGAAGCACGCAGATTTCCAAATAATCTAGTTAAATATACAACAGGCTTTGATCTTACACCCGTTGAATAAAATAGTGAATTTAATGAAATATAATCCAAATACCTTCAGGAGAGCAAAGCAGTAGCAGGGCATACTGTTCAAACACACCTACCAGTATTCAGGACTGTTCTTTTGAGCATTTCTCTCTTTGGCAGACAAGGTTCCCGAAACAATGCTGTTCACTAGCTGTTCAATTGTCTCTACAATTTTCCGATCAGCTCGCTGGGGGACTGTAGGAAGAAATAAAATGCAGCCATTGAGTTATTTTCATCGACAGGGTATGAATACGTCACCTTTGTTATTCTTTGGCATATTGACGTTTGCGATTTTTCAACGTATTGGCACAAAAAATGCCCGCTCTTGGTACTGAAAGAAATTAAGGAGAATTAACAAAATAAGTCCCATTCGAGCACTACTCTGAAAGGGGTTAGTTGCAAATTATTAGTCACTTGGTGTCTGTGTTGCAAGACCTCACTGCAAAAGTATCCAAAATTCAATTAGGGAAGAGCAGATGAGTACAGTCATGGCTAGGAATGCTTTAGACAGGATGAACTGGCCTAAGACAGCAGGAAAAATGGCATTCCTATAGATTTTATGTAAACAACTTAAAAATATGGGCCTGCATCTGATAAAACTGGTAATGGTAATGTCTCGGACTCTGCTTATATGCCAATATTTATCCTGTAACATAGCCAGCTGCAGGTGTGGTCATGGCCTATCGGGAAGATGTGATGTTAGAGGATAGGGCAGCTGAGGTAGCCAAATTGTGCCAGCTGAAAGCACAGTCTGTGTCCCTAGGTAGCTCTCCTCACCTTCCTTCCTCAAATTCCATGTTGTGCAATAATGCACGAGGTGAAAATCCTTGAGTTGAAACATTCATGCATGTGGGAGAGGGCAGGAAGGGGATGTACTTTCATCTGTACAGCCTGGCACAGAACTGGAAGTGATAGCTACAGCAGACAAAATTTCCTGCCTCAGCACTGCTAGGGATTTACATGGAGTTCCCAGAATTTGGAATTCCTGACCTAGTAAAGCCATAAAAGATACGAGATGAAGCAGTAGTGACAAATAAAGCAATTATGAAGCAATTATGTACTGCGAGGCATTCTACAACCGTTCACTCACTTGTAACTTGAGTGTCAGGAGGGGGATTTTGAAGCTGCACTGTGGACTCCTGCTTCAGCTTTTTTCATCTGAATTGGATATCCGCTTTTCTCTAACCAAGCCTTCAAGTTTTCAATGTACTCTCTTCCAAACAACATGGAATCATCGAAATTGGGGAATAGTGTCGGTGCTGGAGCCATTTCCTGGAGCCCTACAGCTTCAAGTATTTTCTCTTGCCTGAAAACAGATGCTAACGCGAAGGTCTGACCCAGAAGTGCTAAAGACTTACGACAAAGAGAAACAGTGGTCTCAAAAGCACTTGCCATTACTCTGGGGTTACCAAAACCACTGGTCTTAATGCTTAACTCGTAAGCATTGCAGGCCATGAGCAGAGGTGTAACACCTTTTAGCAGGCGGTCTTGTAGCCTCATTATATATTTATCAAAAGGTTTTATTATTTCAAAGAAGCAGTTCTTTGTTTTCACAGCACCCTTGTCCAACAGCATATTTAAAAATTCATTGTCCACCTTGGGAGTTTTCAAAGCAGCATGTTGTAAACTCCTGATAGTGTAGAAACAGTAATCTCTGTGTTCTGGCTTGAGGGAGCATTTGAACGAAGCAAGCATTTTCGCACAGGTTTCTGTCTCCAGCTCAAAGAGAGCTCCGAAGAGCCGGGAAAATTCCGCATCGTTTTTTATGGCGTGAAATCCAGCCCACTTTATGATTTGTATTCCAAACGTTGAGAAAATGTCAGACTTGTCCACAAGATCAAAATTGAGATTTCTAAAAACGTGCGCAGGCTTTGGAAGCCTGAGAATAGGTCTCTGGGCTGTTAGAGCTGGCCTTTGAATAGGGCGCTGGAGAGGCACTGGCCTCAGGTTAGGGCGTTCAGCAATTTCTGGCAGTTGATCAGGTTGCACAGCTGGGTTCTGCTCAGGGCCTGGCTGCAGTTTTTTCATGTTCCACTTCTTTAGGGGAGCTTTGATATCTGCTTTGAATATTTTCGTTTTAGCAGCGCCCCTCGCAATACGTTTTCCTCGCAGAACTCTGCCCCTGCCAATGTTGCCCCTCCGCACCGGGGGTCGGAACTCGCTGTCAGACTGAATCACAAACTCCACCTCGTACTCCTGGCTTTCCATGTTGCCATACTCATCTTCCATGAGTCCCGGCGATCTAAAATCACCTAAAATATCCGCAGAACTAAAGTCAGCTTCATGCGGTCCAGTGGATTCCCAAGAGTCGGGATGCCCGTAGTCCTGGTCGTGAGAAGCCAGGTTCCCAAACTCCCGGTCGTGAGCCGCGGGGTGCCCGTACTCCTGATCGTGAGAGGCCGGGTGCCCGTACTCCCGGTCGCGAGATGCTGGGCGCCCATACTCCCGATCATGCGTAGCCGGGCGCCCGTATTCCCGGTCACGAGCTGCTGGGCGGCCAAATTCCCGTTCTCGAGATGCTGGGTGGCCAAACTCTCGGTCACGAGTCACCGGGCGGCCGTATTGTTCGTGGTAATAGTTCTCTTTCCTAATGAGAGGGCTCGCAGCTCTGTAAGAAGGTCCCGGGAACTCATCTCTAGGGTCTTCACTCCATTCATCGTGGGGATGGTGCTGGGCATTGTCGTATCGTCCATCATCGTGGAAATTGTCTTCGTATCTTGGTCTTGGGACAGGCCTTGAATGAGCTGCAATGATAAAAACAGAAATACGCTGATGCACTGAAGTAGTCTTAGGAAAAAAAAATATAATAGGCACATTTAGACGCTTGCAGAGTCGATGTACCAAAACTTTTGAAGAACAGTGTGCATCCCGAACTTTAGGATAGCCCTGTTTGCTTTTCTATATCCATTGAACAACTCGTAATATGTAAAAAGCAACAAATGACCCAAAATGCCTATGTGTACATTGCAAAACAATTTATTAAATCCTCTTCTGCTCTTGTTAAAGCTGAAATACAAGTTCTGCTAGAAAGCCTCTTTTCTACTCGATCACAACTTTCTCAGTCTAGGAAGATTCCAATATTGTGTGAATAATGCTTCTACTGAGACCTCTCTGGTGTAAAAAAATCAGAAGCTCTGTTCTCACACTGAATGCCAGGATTCCGCAGCTGAACAGAAGATATTTTCTACAAATTCATATGCAATCATCTGAGATAACATTGCAGGCAGAAATACTAGAATTTCCTGTACGGTATCCAGGAATCCCAAATGTGGAACTTAAATTCAGAAGGCAAAAGATTAAGTATTTAAAAGAAGTAATTCCTTTGAAGCTAAGACAACTTAAAGAAAACAGATCTCGTTTTAAAACACCCAGCTTTGTATGAATGTAATCCATGTTATTTACCTAGACATTTTAAATATGAAATTTAGGAGACAAAAGAATTTGCAGATGTTTTATATGCATTCCCTAAATTAAAATCCCACTTTTAGTTTTTTTTTTTTTTTTTTTTTTTCTCTAAAAAAAACACAAAATACAAAGATTCAAAAGCCTCAAATGCACCCCTACGTTTATTTAACTTATCAGACATCAACAGAATTCCACCCTGCAGTGATGTCTCTGGAGACCGCCCTGAAATTGGACCCACTCTCAGATGCAGCCCAAACAGAATTCCTTTGTTTAAAATTCGGGTTTTGCCTGGAATTTGCACTCCACATTAAAATAGCGTTAGCCATACCAAGCCATTAGCCTCTAAAATGAAAATGGATGTGGAAAAACACCAGCACGAGTCCACGTTTCAGGCAAATACGCCTAAGCAGCAGCCAAGAAATCGAAGAGAGCTATCGCCACGGCAGCCGCTGTAATCCACGGCACGTCATGCCCGGGTTCCTTTACCTTTAAAATGATGGATTGTGTTGTCTATAGCGTCAGTCCGCTCCATGCGATACCTCTTAACTTTGTCCTGCACCACAGCATCAAACGTCTCCCGTGTGATCTGCCGAGAGGCCATTTTTCCCCCTGTAGCAAAACAGCACAATGCGGTCCCTGACCGGGGCACGGCCGCCGGAGAGATCTTCCCGCTGCCGGCACATTCCGGGCGCCCACCGGGTTCAGCCAAGGCGGATTCCCGAGAGTGCCTGGTGGCAGCAGCTCCTCCCTCAGTCCCCCCCTCCCCACCCCTCTCAGCTCTCCCCTCAGCCCTATTAGCTCCCCCTCAGCCTCCACTGCTTCCCCTCACGCCCCCCCATCCCTCAGCTCCCCCTCATCCCTCTTAGCTCCCCTCAGCCCCCTCATCTTCCCCTCAGCCCCCTCCTCAGCACCCTTTCTCAGCCCCCTTATCTTCCCCCTCAGCCTGTCTTCAGCTGCCTCATCTTCCCCTCAGCCCCTTCATCTTCCTCCTCAGCCCCCTCATCTTCCTCCTCAGCCCCCTCATCTTCCCGTCAACCCCTTCTCAGCCCCCCATCTTCCCCCTCAGCCCCTTCATCTTCCCCCTCAGCCCCCTCATCTTCCTCCTCAGCCCCCTCATCTTCCTCCTCAGCCCCCTCATCTTCCTCCTCAGCCCCCTCATCTTCCTCCTCAGCCCCTTCTCAGCCCCTCATATTCCCCCTCAGCCACTCTTTAGCTCCCTCATCTTCCCCTCAGCCCCCTCAGCTCCCTTCTCAGCCCCTCTTCAGCCTCCTCATCTTCCCCCTCAGCACCCTTCATCTTCCCCTCAGCCCCCTCCATCTTCCCCCTCAGCCCCTCTTCAGCTCCCTCACCCTCCCCCCAGCCCCCTCATCACCCCCTCAGCCCCTTCTCAGCCCCCCCCATCTCCCCCCAGCCCCCTCCCACCCCCCCCTCGCCCAACCTGAGGCGAAGCCCGGCGTGAGGGGGGGCAACACCCGCAACCACCACCACCACCACCACCACCTCCCGCCCTCCTCACCCCTCAGCGGGCCCCCCCCGGGCCCTGGCAGCCCGCCGCCCCTCTCGGAGGCCCCGTGAGGAGGGGAGGCCCCGCCCCGCCCCGCGACCCGCCCCGCCGGGCCCCGGCCCTGCCCTCACCGAGGCGGCGGCGCCCCCCGCCCGGCCCCGCACCCCCCCCCCCTCCCCTCCGCCCGGGAGCCTCCCAGCATCCCCCGCGCTCCTCCCCCCCTCCCCCGCCCCCTCCCCTCCTGCCTGTGGCGGCTCCCGCACACTGCGCCTGCGCACAACGCGCCCGACCGAAAGCGGGGGGGAGGAGTCGGCGCGGCGCGCATGCGCAGTAGGAGCCTCCGTGCTCTTTTTCGCTCCGCGCCGCCTTCTGGCAGGGGGAGGTGGGCGGGACTTTTTTCGCCCCCCCTCCTCCCCCTTTCGGCGCATGCGCACTGAGAGGGCCGAGCCAGGGAGGACGGCGGCCGGGGCGGGTCAGGCGCCTCAGCGCGCTGCTCTTTGTCAGGCGGAGGTGGGCGGCGGGAGGAACCGGGGGGAAACCGGGGGGGAACCGGGGGGGATCCGGGCTCCGCTGAGCGCCCTCGGCCTCCCCCAGCACCTGGGCACGGGTCTTGGGCTCTCTCCGGGGTCAGTGCTGGGCCCTCCGGGCCGGCCGGGCCCGCTCAGGGAAGCGCGGGGCCTGGGCGGGCTGGGGTAGCCCGGGGGGGGGGGGATGTATGGTAGCCCAAGGGTGGGCTGTGGTAGCCCAGGAGCGGGTGTTGGTGGCCCCCGGGGGTGCAGGGCCGGCTGACAAGGGCTGAGCCGGGCCCCGGGCCCGCTCCCATCCGCATCCCAGCTGCAGCGACCCCCCCGCACCAATCCTGGGCCTCTGCAGCCCCCCCCCCCCTCATTCTTTTATTCTCTTATAGCACGTTAATAATTCACTGTTTTGTGGTATTTTTTTCGGTTTCGAGCTCCGCGCTGTGTTTTGGAAAAGAGCAGGTCACCGTCTGTGTCTTGTCTTAACCTCACAAGGTCTCGCAGCAAAGCTAATTGTGGGCTTTCCTCCTGACAGGACAAAGAGCAGTTTGGAGTTTACTCCGTTCCAGCAAAATGGGATCCAAGCAGATTGCCCAGGAAACGTTTGATGATGCCGTGCAGGAAAACATCACGGAATTTGAAATGGATCCGGAGGAGGCGGTGAGAGAGGCTGTGCAGCAGTTTGAGTCTCAAGGTATTGCAGATTAATTCCACTGTTGCAATTAAGTTATTACAGATCGAGGTTTCTCAAAATTTCGGAGAACCAATGCGCAAAGATTGATCATTCAGTATTTAAATGAAGTCTATGTAAAGCAGAATGTAGATACTATTAACGCTAACCTAGTTTAACGGAGTAATTATGATTGAGAAACTGCTTTAAGTGAAAGCGTAAGATGTGGTTTTGTGAATGAAATTGAACGTTTTTTTGCCAGCTGTGATTTAGTCAGAATTAGTTCTCTGTTCCAGGATGTACCTGACAATCAGAGTTAACCAGAACTTTGGCAGCCTTTCAGCATCTTTGTGCATTGATCTATGCTTTATGACAAGCCTGTCTTTGTTGGCTATATTTAACTTAAATTTTACTTAAGCTCTTTAACTAATATGAATCTAATTTCTGTCTTTTTCCTTTTAGGTGTTGATCTAAGCAATATTGTGAAAGCTGTGCGGCAGCCTGCCTCTGAAAATGGTCAAAAGCAAAAGCATGAAATTTTGCTGGTAGGACTATACATTTGTGTTGTCTCCTAAAGGTCAGAGTTAACTAAAAGGCTCAGTATTAGACTAAGAATCACGAGACACATATTCTACTGCCTCTGCCCCATTTCTTTGTGAGCTCTTAAACGAGTGGTTAATCCCACGTGATCTCAGAGCTGGCTTGTACTTTTCAGTAGCATTATGTGCGTAAGTGCAAAATACCAACATTTCTTGGCTAGGAAACACAGAATTTCTTTAACAACTTAGAAGCAGATTCTGCTTTTGTCAGGTGTGGTCAAAGCAGGGAAGAACTTTAATGAAGGAAATATGAGTAACAGAAGTGGGAGCTGTCAGCTAGCTCTTCTGAGGATTGAATACAGTCACGCACCAGCCAGAATTTAAAGTACTTGTGCGTGCCCTTGGCCCCTGTGAAATGTGCTAGTGGGACCCAGTTCCTTTGGTGCTGGTCAGACTGACATTGAGGGATGTTGCGACACTGATGAATGAAGACAAAGCGTTGAAGACAAAATGCTGTTCTAAGAAACAGCTGTTTCTTAGCTATTTCAAATTCATTTGAGGTTTAAAAGCAGGACATTGTTATAAATAAACAAATTTAACCAACTCTAAAGAGCTGTTCTCATTCCTTCACAGTTCAGATTGAAAAGTAACTCTTGTTCTCTCTCTTTTTTTCTTTTCTTTTGTCTTTTAGACTTTAGATTCCCTTGGGAGATGTGTTGCTGACTCTGATCTCAATGAGATGGCCGAGCAGCTAGTGGTCTTCACTGAGCAGTGCAAAGAGCAGCTGGCTTTCCGCTACCTGGCTGGGCAGAACGGTGCCTACTCTGTGGTATTCTCTGCCTGCCAGTTGGCTTCGGGAGACAGAAATTTAATGCTGAAAGCCTTCTGCACTCTGTCTGCCATCTTGGATGGGCAGCCAGACCTGCTTGACGCTGCTGGTCAGGATCTACTGCTACAAACTCTGAAAGAATATCGAGAGGATGCTGACATGACTCTGGCTGGGATCCGATGCATTCGGCACGCCTGTCTGAAGCATGAGCAGAACCGCCAGGACTTTGTGAAAGGTGGGGTGCTGCCGCTCCTGACCGGAGCCATCGTGCAGCACGGAGACAGCGCTGATGTCGTCCGAACGGCCTCCTCGGCGCTCAGGATCATGACATTCGACTGATGACATCCGTGTGCCCTTTGGTCATGCTCACGATCATGCCAAAATGATCGTGTTGGAGAACGACGGATTAAGGGTGCTCATTGAGGCCGCGAAAGGTACAATTAACCCCCTGGCTGTTGATGTTAATTTGGAATCCTCTGTGCTTTTTTATCTCAAACCCGTGCTTTGCCGTAACTTGAAGTTCCCCAGAGGTGGTTTGGAAATTCGCTACTAACGTGATTTAATTCCTTTGATGAAGTGTGCCCCAAGAGAGAAATACAATGACTGCTCCAGAGCTATCAGCAGCACTAAGGTGACAGTTATCAGAGCTATCTGTCAGTCTCTTTAGGAAGGATTTTACAGCCCAGTGCAGGTTTACAGACACATTATCCCTGCTGAGGTGCTGCATTTCTGCCAGGGAAAGATATTCTATCAGTCTAGCTACAGAGTGAACAGAATGTCATCTGCGATGATCTGTTTTAATTATAAAGGGGAAGTCACTGTTTCCTGGGGTAGTGTGGCTTTTAATTTTTTAATGAAGCAAACTAAACCACCTTGATTCTGCTAGCAGCTCTGCTTGCTCATACTTACCTCCATTCATCATCTCCTCCACAGCATTCACAGATAATTCCGGTGTTCTCAGTGAGCTGTGTGCCACCCTTTCTCGCCTCTCTGTCAGGAATGAATTCTGTCAAGAAATTGTGGACCTTGGGGGCTTAAATTTCATGGTGTCTCTCCTGGCTGACAGCATTGACCATCCAGTAAGTGAAATAACGTGTACTTGGGGGAGAGGGCGTAATGCAGCAGGTTGTGATTTTTATTTTTTATTTTTTTTAAATCCTGGCTGTGAATAAACCTTAGAATTAATGCATTATTTTAGGTGCACTTAGTGTTGAAATCCAGCCATTGATCCCATTTACCTCCCTATTAGAAGCCTTATATGCAGAACTAGATTACATCTGCTCGGTCAGATAAGAACGGAGTGGTTGTGCCCCATACTCATGGCCATTTCCTCTGTCCTCCCTGGTGCACAAGCAGAGCTCTGCTTTCTCCCAGAAAACCTGAGCTCTGCTGGGTTTCCACCATTCTAGCTAGAAGAGGTTCAAGAGGGTTGATGTTTTATTCTTTAAACTTTGAAAACCTCTGCCAACTAACAAGTTCGTTATTCTTGTGCCTAACAAGAAGGTGTACCTGACACATGAGAACATGAGAATAGCATTGCTGGCAATTACAGCTGTTTGAGTGGAGTTGCTGGGGGATGTTCTGGGTGGCTTTCAAAAGCCTGTGAAACTTTTTAATTCTGCTTTCTAAGCTTTTTTTTTTTTCTTGCTGAACGCAGGATGTGGTGAAGCAGGTGCTGAGCGCCATCCGAGCGGTTGCAGGTAACGATGATGTGAAAGATGCCATAGTGAGCGCTGGTGGGACCGACCTCATTGTGCTCGCTATAAGCCATCACCTTGCCAACCCTCAGGTATGCAGCTGCTGGGCTGACGGTGACGTCCCCCAGTGGGTGGGAGGGGAGGGCTTTGGGCTGCATAATGTAGCAGCCTTATCTCACATTGTATAGGGGGAACAGCCCGCAGCTGTGCTCTTATTCCTGATAAACAGCTTGTGCTGAGAGCAGATATATTCCAAGTACGTTTGTTAAACGATTGCATTTAACAAAATTGTTTTCATAACATGAACAATGTGCTAAACCCTTGACATCCACTTGACGGAGAGTGGTTAAGTGCATGCTTTGGCAAATACTTCTGTAAATGTAAAGGTATGCCCACCTTACTACATCACTTTTTTTCCCTTGTCCTTGAATAGGGGAATAGTGGATAAAATGTTTTATGTTTTGGGACTACAGATCAGATTTCAGTCACTATTGAAATTATTTAAAATCTGTTTTAAGTGACCATATGAAACTTAATTTACATGCAGGAGAAGCAAGATGTTTTAGTGGAGGAAACTAAAAAATATTATTTATTAAAAAATCCCCCAAACAGGAAAACAGAATTGGAATGATTTAGTTTTCTTAAAGCAACATTCTTCAGCAATTGAGTTCCTCTTTGCCTTGTAGATCTGTGAGCAAGGTTGTGCAGCTCTGTGCATGTTGGCTTTGCGCAAACCTGAGAACTGTAATGTCATCATGGAAGGCGGAGGGGCATTGGCAGCTCTTCAGGCCATGAAAGCACACCCTCGAGAAGTGGCTGTCCAGGTACCTGCCTTAGAGCTCTTGATTATTCATTCAGGATTGGTGTTGGTTGTGTTCACTGCTTCGTTTGTCCTTCACTTGATGAACATTGAAAAGCTGGGCATGTTGGGAAGATAGTTACAGCATCTAAATGCAGGGCACCCTGTGTCTGTCATCCTGATGTAGTCAAAACAAAAGTCAGCTTGGGTTTCAAACCCACCTGCTTTCAGGTTCAAGTGACGGTGGAGTGCTTCTCTTGAAGGCATTACTTCTCTTCAAAAGAGCAGGGTGAGGATGGACTCTTTCAGAGCCATCTTGTGCTAGCTACTGTGATGTGTCAGAGAGGAGACATTGCCATGTTTTCTCCAGAGTTGACTAAACTCCATGGCAAGGAGTTAGCTTCTGATTTATCTTTTTGTGCTCTCCAGAATATTAAAATACCCTAGGAAATATTTTTGAAAGAGCAGCATAAGCTACTACAGCAAAGTGACAGGAGAGGTACATGGAAGAGCATACATGGGGGTGGAAAGGTGGCTCTGCTGTAAAAAAATAAAATCTTAATATTATTTAAAGAAGTACTTGGTACTGCCTGGCTGCTGTTGGAACATCAGTAATTCTCAGATGGAAGCAGGAGGCTTTGTTGCATAAACATCAGTGTAAAATAGCAGCCATGCTTTTGTCTATGGATTTTATTCTCCCAGAAAATAGCATCTCACATTTGGTTGCCCAGAAAAGGTTCCGTAGCTGGAGCCAGATCTGCTTTGTGTGTGCCAGCATCCCACTTGGTATTTTCCTGTGTAAGATGCTAATCCTTCTTGTTTTCCTCTCTCCTCAGAAACAGGCTTGCATGCTGATCCGCAACCTGGTCTCCCGGAGCCGGGACTTTTCTCAGCCCATCTTAGAGATGGGAGCTGAGAACCTAATAACAGAAGCTCGTGCAACGCACAGGGACTGTGACGATGTGGCCAAAGCTGCCCTGCGAGATCTTGGCTGCAAAGTGGAGCTCAGGGAGCTGTGGACAGGTCAGAAGGGAAGCCTCGCTCAGTGAATCGTCAGCCCACTGAGCAACGGAGCTTCAGAGCACCTATGTACATGAAGTCTAAGGGGGGGGAACGAAGCGGCATGGATTAACTTGCAGTTAAACCGACCTGGAATACCTGATGCAAATGCCTAGCTTGTGAGGCTGCGGTGAACTTTTTATTGAGAGCTACAGCTGAAATGGCTTTGTGCATTCCAAGGCTGCAAACCAGCTCTGTAGTAATCATTCCTTGAATCATCTAATGCCTGAAGATGATCTGCTCCCCCCTGTTGTTCTGTATGTTTCTTGTGTACGAGACAGGGCTGTTCCGTGTGCTTTGTTCTATACAATAAGAGCAAAGGTGGATCTCTCCTGACAGGAGCCTGATGCGTACCATGGCAGCTGGTGCTGGTTTGCTCCTCTGCTCTCTGCCGATGGAGGCCAGCAGCCTGATCTGGTAATGGGAGGGCTGAGGAGGGATCCCATCATTTGTGAATGTGTTCTGTCCTGTTGTGCTGTTCTAACTTATTTTACTGCTGACCATATTCTGTGTTGCTTCTTTGTTTGGGATTTTCAGCCAACGTGACGTTTTAAACGCAAGCACGTAAGGATTTCTGGTGGTATGGCCAAAACCAACATGCCTCTTGATGTTGCCATTCGCTTCCAGGAGGAGAGGTCGTATTCTGCTCCAGCGAGATGGGCAAATCGGGGGCTGGTAGCGAGGATGGTGGTATCAAAGGAGGGACGAACTGGCAGGAAGCTAGTGCTGGGGAGCCCAGGCTCTTTGGTGACTTCTTAGCAGAGCAGCATTTCCCTGAATCCAAGAGGGCTGTTAGGATAATGAAGAGGCCGTGTGCCTCGTGGTCTGAAAGCAGCTGTGGACTTGGAGGTGAGACAGAGCTGAAACATCCAGAAAGCTTCTGAAGCCACAGCTAAAAGCTTTTGTGTGCTGCCAGCCAAGTGGTTCCTGCTGCTGTGCTGTGTTACCAGCTCTGCTCTGGGTGCTGATAAAACCTTCCTCCTGCTGTGCATAAACCTCGCCGTGTTGGTGCCCCTCTCTGCCCTCGTAGCCAAGATGCCCCGGTGAAGATACCCCAGAGCTGCGAGAAGAGCTGATGAAGACCCCCTGGGTGCCACGGGAGCCTTGTGCAGGAGGGCAAAACCCATTATTTTGGGGAGGGAGCCTGAAACAACCCCGCTTTTTCTGACTTTGGGAGGGCAGAGAAGCGGCACAGCCCCCGGGGACACAGAGCTGAGGCTCTGCAGGACCAGTGGCTGCGCAGAACGCCCTCCCAAGCAGCACAGGGGGCAGCTGGGGACCATCCTGCACCCCCCAGACCCCTCAAACCGCTCCCGGAGCCCTCCAGAGGCCGCGCAGTGCCCTGCGCGCTATTTGCGCGCTACCTGCGCGCTCCCTGCGCCGCCACCTGCGCGCCTTCTGCGCCCCGCCCCTCCGCCCGCACCCTGAGGCAGCCCGGCCTCTTATTGGCCTCCCGCCGTGCCCGTCAACCGCCTCTCGGCCACTCGGCGCGCGCGAAGCCTCAACCCCTCGGCGCTGATTGGCTGCAGGACCCGGCGAGGCCCCGCCTCCTCCCAAGCCCTGCCGGGGGTGGGCGGGGGGAGGAGGCCTGGCGGCCGGGAGCCGAGCGCGGAGCGGAGCCGAGCCCCGGTGAGTGCGGGCCGGGACCGGCCCCCCCCACCCCCAAACCCCCGCTACCGGCCCCCGGTCGGGCTTTATCCGCCCGGCTCCGCGGCCTCGAAGCCTGGGCAGGGCCGGGGGGGCGTCGGTTGGGTTGCGCCGCTTCTCCGCCTCACGGGGACGGGGTGGGGGGGGGGGGGTTGCGGCCGTCCTGTGGCGTGAGGGGGACCTGGGGGGGGCTGAGGGGATGTGGGGGGGCTGCGGGGGAGGCCCCTGTTACCCCTTTACCCTGCTACCCCCTCCCTTCCCGGCCCTGTTATCCCCTCACCCCGTTTCTCCTTGCCCCATTTCCCCCCCCCCCAGCCCCGTTATCCCCCCCGGTGCCCTTCGTTGCCCCCCCCCCCACCCCCCGGTGCCTGAGGCGAGCTCCTGGCGGGCTCCGCTTCTCCTTCGAAGCCCTTGGGTGGACGCCGGGCTCAGGAGGGCACCCTCACGCCTCCGCCTGCGCCCTTGGATGTCAAAAATGAGCAGTTTGGGGTTTTTTTGACCCTCTGGAGCCCCCAGCGCCAGGTGTTTGTGCTGTGGGGTGGGTGTCAGGGGGCGCAGAGGGTGATAAACGCGGGCCTCGGTGCCTTCTCGCTTTGGTTTCACCCCATCGTAAGCCACAAGTTGCAGAGCGGGGTCGTTTTTCCCTCTCAAGGAGGATTTTCCTTCATATTTCGGGATGGGAGTTGTGGCAGCGTTGCAGAGTAACCTGCTGCCCCACCAGCCTGGCACCTGCTTCCCCAGTCCCTTTATTGACCTAAAACCTGTGTTAATGTGAAGGTTGGAGGAGGTGAAGCTTTGTTTGGGTTTGCCTGGCCGTCCCCTTCCCACTGGCTGTGAATTTAGAGAGGGTTTGGAGCCTGCCACCGCTTGGCTCTTTTTGGTTGGATTCTTACACTTCACTCACGCTAACTGCAGGGTTTTTTTCTGGATGCGGTGTGCTTTTTGCGACGTGTTTTCCTGCGTGGTTTGGTGGATTTAGCGTGTTGGAAAACACGCTGGTTTTTAAGTGCCTCTGTTTTGGGAGGAGGGCGTGTGTTAAGGAACAGGAGAGGCGCCTGTGGGTGTTAGAAAACAGCTGCGGGAAGGGAGAGCAAGTAATAAGGGTACCAGCGGGTCGGTGGAGTCACACCAACAACCTGTGGGGGAGCCTGCTTAAAAATAATCCTAGGGCTGGGCATCCAGAATGCCAGGGCTGGGTCCTGGCTAACTCTGAGCATCTTCACCTCCATCCCACCAGGGCTGTGAATGTTGAACACGAATTAAAATCATCATTTAGGAGCTCTGAAGGCTGGGCTGGAAGGGAGCTGCCGTGGAGGGGGACGGGACGGGACTGTCCTTGGTGTTGGATTTCAGCAGGAACTCTTTGGCCCCGGTGATTGCTTCAGGCAGGAGGATTTCAGCTCCTGATAGCGCCGTGGGATGAGTCAGGAGCTGCAGTAATCTCTTTTTGCTTGACCTGCAGCTGTAGCTCGTGCGTTGGCTCAGGCAGGCCCAACCGAGAACGCGCGGTTTTGGGTCTGTTTACCCAAACGAACCTTTGTTTGGAGAGGTCACCGAAAATGCAAGGCGGGCACCGCTGTGGCCTTGGGTGCGTGGTTACCTGATGAAGCAGATGGGCTTGGTACAGGTCAGGCAGGTTTGCTGTCAGAAAAAAAGCTCAGGAACCCGAAAGGACTTTTTTGAGTGACTTTGCTGTTCGTTGGATGAAGATGCATTTAGGTTTACACCTTCTTTACGTGAAACTGATGCCAGTGCTTCCCACTGCAGTGTTTCCCATTTTCCAAATGCTGTATAAATCTTCCTGGTGACCCTCTTATGAGGGGAGATCACTTGTTGGCATTTCAGTTTGCCTTTCCTTAACCACTTACTCCAGGTCACAAGAAAAAACGAGTGCTGGAGGCCTGCTCTGCTCTCCAGTTGCGCTTTAAATCTGCTCCTCCTTGCTGTTGAGCAGTTAATGATGGTGTGTCCGTGTCGTGGGAGGGTTAGTGCCGCTGGGCTAACAACCTCGATCGAAGCAGAGGGATGCTGAGCTCTGCCCCAACTGCTTGTGTGCAAGAGGTGACTGCAACAGCGGGGTGGGACTCGTGGCCTGGCCTGACTCCAACAGTCGGTGTGGAAAGCGTTGAGGTTGGCAAATGTCACCTGCTTGGGACGCCTGCGGCTTCTTAATGATGGAAGATGTTGGCTCGTTCTGTTTTCCACGTGCGTTTTAAACCGTGATGATTTTAGAGCTGAGACTGTAATTATCAGTTACTGTTTTGAAATGGCTCCTGGCGAAGATTGCTCGTGTTATTGCTTGTGTTTCAGATAATCTCAGTTTGAGGTCAGAAATTTCGACTCTGCTGGGATCTGGCACTTCGGGACCTGGTGTGCCTGTTTTATTTGTTTGTTCGCTGCCTTCTGTTTCTAAAGGGAGGCGATCCCTGCCTGACAAAAGGAGTGGATTCAGCAGAAGGCCTCAGCCATTCAGTCCCCTGCAGACAAAGCGGTTGTCTGCCTTGCAGATAAGAGCTGGGCTTCGTTTTTTTGGCTGTGGAAAGCGTTGTCGAGGTGTTCCCAGCAACAGTTGTCTCTCTCAAACCGAAGACTGTTTTGTCTTGCCAAGATTTCCTCTGTTCGTGGCTCATGCATTCGTTCCAAGCTTAGTTCAAGACGTGAATCTCCCAGACTCCTGTGAATAGCCTGAGCTGTCCTCGCTAGCAGAGGTTTAGATATTGCTTCTCAGTGCTCAGCGACTGCCTGAAGTCAGGTAATCTAAAACCATGCAAAGAATTTGTATCTTCATCCTGATTTACTGGCAGCTTTGAGTCCTCCCTGGCTGAGGGAGGGAGGAGGAGCGTTCGTTTTGTACTTTGGAGCTGAGGAAGCATGTGAAAAATTAAACACTTCCAGATACTATCCTTTGGTGAGTCTTTTAATTAGATTGTCAATGATTCTTTAAAGTCATGCTGACAGTTTCTGTACAGGCCTTTAAAGGAAAAATGCAACGCACTACTCAGAGCTAATGTTTTGGGATCAGATTTATATGCAACTGCAAGATGAATGTGACTGAAGAGAGCTGAGTCTGCAGGGCATATCTGGTTTTGATTTTTAATGGCTTAATCAAACTGGAAGGCAAAGATGGACCTCAGGGGGCCGTCTAGTTATAGTTGATCCCCCTCTTCTGAGTGTTTCAGCCCTTTTTTCTGTGATTTTCTGAGATGCTTTTGCTCCAAGGGTGAATTTAAGGCTGCAGTAATCTCCGCTCTTACCACGTCTCTTTCTCTGTCAGGCTCAATTGCTCAGTTTAACAATTGAAGGCAACCTAATTGAGTGACTTCCCTGGGTACTGTTTAACTTCAGCCTGCCTGGGAAAAACGTGTGAAGATTTCTGCGGGAACTCTCTCGGTTTTCTTTTTTTTCCCCGATTTAATTATATGCTTTTATCAAGTGGTGTTAACAACGCAATAAAAGAGGAAAACTAAGGAACTGGATAGCTCTGGAGTAACGTGAGAAGCTGATGTGTCTGAGCGGAGTCATCCCAGCGACTTTACCTGTGTGGAGTCGATCAGAGTGCGGCCCCAGAGGTGAGCTTTGGCAAGGGGCTTGGACCCTGGTGGTCTCTTGAGGTCCCTTCCTAAGCCCTACAACTCGGTGATTGAGCTGTGGCATTGGGCTCGTGCAGTGCCTGTAGGTACAGCAGGTGCCATGCAGTCCACAGCAATCTGTGTATTCCTCCTCGAGGACATCGTCTGGGGAACCACGTGTAAGAGAGGTTTAAATGTTTGTGTATCAGAGGCAAAGCAGAAATCCTGCTGTTATTACGATGTCTTTAGAAAGCATAAGCAAGTGAAAACCTAAAGGAACTGTCTTTGTTATACTATAGGCAATGAAGTCCTTCAATTTGAATTTATCTGGGTTGAATTTATTTGGTTTAAAACAACATTTGTCTCTTGTTTTTGTGTCGTTCTAAGTCCACATGCTTCATGGGTCCTTCTCTGGGATGCTCGATGCACTCTGTGCTGGTAAACTATGAAGAGCTCTGGGCTGGAAGCCACGTGGATGTGATGGTTGCAGAGATCCCTTTTTACTCTTCACGTTTTAATGGCAGGAAGGTGCTGCCAGGGCTACCGTAATCCTCCTGCATCACAAGCTGCTCACAACTCCCAGGCAGTGAATAAAAAATGTTGCGAGCTCCTGGGTGCTGCCTGCTTTCTGTCCTCAGGAGCAGATAACAAACTGCATTTTTGGTGGTGATGAGAGAGAAGTGGGTAGCAGGGCTGAGTTCTTCTGCCCGTCTCATGAATAGAGTGCATTTCGTGTGGCACAGAGTCACAGCAGCACTTGGCTGCTGAAGTGGTGTGGTTTTACCTTTACCTGTCTGTCCGGGCACTCCCATGTCCAGTGCTTTAAACTCCTCCTGTAATTGCTGCTGGGGTCGTCTGAGCAAAAAGCAAATATTTCACAGAAAATAGCAGCCGTTAGCATTCAGATAGCTGCTGGTGATGACTGTTTGCTTTGCAATCTATCTGCTGTTCTTGCTGGATAGATGACATTCTTTCGGAAATCTTAGTGCTTTGTGACAGGTCTAAATTCCACCTGGGGAGTAGCAGACAAACATGTTTTTTTGGTAATGACACGTTGCCAGCCAGCCTCTGGGCTGGGTGCCCAGACTTCTGCTGTTTTCTGCCCGCGTACTACTGTGAAAACCGTAATGACTGGGGCTGCTCTCGCGGTTAAGACATTTTGCTATAAACAGGTAGTTGCAGGTCTGCCAAAGGTGCTGGCAGAACGGGAGCACCGTGGAGAGGATGAGGAACGCGACGTCCCCTCGGCCAGCTGTGAGTTTGGTGCAAAGCTCAGCCCTGCACCCTTCCTCTGCCTGCCCTTCCTGCAGGTTTTTGAGGCTGAGCTGCTACAGGAACGCATGTGTCTACCTGGCCAAATATATAAAGGAGGGATTTAGGGCTGGTCGTGTCATAGTGACATGAAGTCCAACTTCTAAATAAGATTTAATTGTGAAATAGGCAAAGGCACGACGAGCTGCAAGCCTTCTCTTTAGCAATGTGATTTTAATTTTGAACGCCCCAACTGGAGAACTTGGGCTCAATCCTCAGTTGTGATGCTGGTCTCCGAAGTGCGTTGGTTCTTCTGATGAGAAACTAATTATCTTAAGGCTGTGTAATTTCAAATATGATGCTGTTGTAGCTATTTCATTCGAACATGATTGGATTCACAAGTGGCTTGGAGAGCTGGAGCTGTTTTTCTCTGAATCCCCCCCTGCTCTGGGCAATGAACTGGCACCTGCCTGTAAGACATTCTTCCTAGTAGGTTGCTTTTATCATCTGAATAACTTGATTCTGTCTCGCCTGTCCTTTTAATCAAAATCACCACCAAGAAAAGTAGAATGTCTAACTTGTCAGCGAGTCAATTTGACAGCTTGATTGAACTTGTTCAGGTATTCATTAAGTGCCGCTAGAGAGAGCTGGGAGAATGGGAAGGGAAGGCTAACAATGCTCCGTTTTTTAATGTGCAGAGCATATTCTGTGCGTCTCGTGGTATGCAGAGAATGGAACTTGCTTTAGCACACAGCTGCTCCTGCAATTGCCAGGGTCCGGGCAGCGTCTCTAGAAAGAGTCCCGGGCTCAAAGGACAATCAGGAAAGAGACCACGGCAGCAAAGTTCCTCGGCTTGTGAAGGTGCCGCTGCCAGAAGGGAGGGCTTGAGCTTCCCTCTTTTGCAACTTGGCAAATGAGCTTTAATCTCTGCCTTGCAAATTAGCACGGCTGAGTTACAGGCAATGTTTTCTTGTTTTCTGGTGGAGTTGAAACTGGATGCCAGAGGAAGTGCTTTGTGCTTTCAATAAACTCTCGTGAGCTTTGTTGTAAAAACACGGTGGATGTTACTCATGAAGCCCCTTTAACTCTTGAACCTGCATTCGCCAGCAGTTTTCCTTTCTGATTATGCATTCTTTAGGGGAATGCTTTGCTCTACAGCTTGTTCGAGGAGTCTGGCTACAGATATGTGACACAGACTCGTGTAACTACAATATAAATAACACAGAAGCGTGGTATAAAAAGCCAGTCTGATCTGCAGCTATTTTTTCTTGTTTCCCTTGGCTTTGGGAGTGTAAGGAATGGCTGCGTCTATACAAAATACAGAGATTTTAAAAATGTCCAGCTGCTCCGGATTGGGTTTCTGTGAATTACTTAATGAAGGAGCTTGATATATATGTGTGTGTGTGTGTATATATATGCAAGATAATGTCTGGTTTCTGATGGCTGGGCCCTTCAGATTCACAGTGAAACTTAAAAGCAAGGCTTTATTCTCTGTCTCTGGTGTGCATCATTAGTCATAACAGCCAGGATTTGGTTAATAACAAAGTCAGAATCCAGCCCAACTCCAAAATAAAATCTTGCGTTGCTTTGCAGCAGGCAAATGGGAATACAACTAATAAATACTGCTTTTGCATTTAAGGCTCTGCAAGTTTAGGGCTTATATTCCTGCAGAGCACGTGGGCAGTTTTAATGTGTAAAGCTGAGCATATAGACAGGTGTTGGTAAATCAGGGCATCAGGCACTAAAAATAAAGAACAGAGCAGCTCTGAAGAGTATCAAAGAGAATATTGTCGAGTAAATGGAGATCATCTTTACGGACGTGCATGTTCTAAAATAGGTCCAGGCCTCATAATAGCAGCTTAGTATTTGAGATTTCCTTTTAGTCATCTTTCTCAATCATCTTTCAAAATCACATTTTAAAACAAAGTTGTAGATTGCATTCCTAAGCTCTTTAGCGTGAGTTCTATTTTGGTGGGTTTATTTTTGGTAGAGATAAATCTGATATTGTGACCTACATTGCTTTTTTTGAAATAGCTGGGGATAATATCTCTGCCTGTGATTTCTCTCAGGCTTTTGCTGAAAGATATCACTTTACAATAAATTTCCCGGGTACAAGAGATGAGAAGGAAAGGAAATAAGCAGAGACAGTAATTAGGAATAATCAACAGACTGTGTTCTTCAAAATAATTTAATGAAGTGCTTTTCTCTGCAGTGCTACGAATCATCCTCAGTCCTGATCCTTACAGGAATTTTGGTTCACAGTCTGATGTGACCGAGTGTCCACGATAGAACTTGTCAGGTGCAAATGGTGATGCCGTTTAGGTCGTGCTTCCGACTATCAGATGTTATCTTTCATTAAAACCTTGAGTTATTACTCTCCGAGCAGCATCCTGAGAGCTCCTCTTTTTGAAAACACCCTCAGGAGTTGTAAACACGTTGATAAGTGTCTTCCCGGAGCTCTAGCAAGTGATGTCTGCTATTAAAGACACCCAGGCGTGTTTGTCCTCCCTTGGAGTGAGCGCGTGGGTCATGCCTAGCTTCATCATCACAAATTGGTCATGCACGAGTACAGCCGGAGCTGATCTGGCGCTGGCTTTCCGTTAATATCTCTGCTGCAACCAAGGGGGTTTGGAAGTGAAGTCTGGCACTAATTTATGAGAGCGATGTGGGGGGAAAAAAATAGGTCAGCAAGTATGAAAGGTGCTGACAAGCATATAACGTCTCGAGATTGTTAAAAAGGAGAAAAAAAAAAGATCTTGAGGCAGCCTTTCCAAGCAAGCAAGCTGTTGTGCCGCGGGTTTCCTAGGCATCAGACGGGGCAGAGATGAAGCAACTTGCTGGAGGACACACGAGAAAGCTGTGCTAGAACTGGGGAGCAGTTGGGGAATTGAGATTTCCTAATATTGCATTCCTTGAAAGGAAGCTGCGGATGGGGCAGAGTGGCTGTTGGAGCAGTCTTGTCACTTAGAAAACTGATCTTTGTTGTTACGCCCCGTTTGTGCATAGATTCAAAACGGGGAGACCGGCTTTGTGCAAGCTCGAGTTTTTCAGGCTTTAGCCCTTTCCTTTCTGCATAACTCAGGATGAAAACTTGCATCAAAAAAAGCAGAAATACTAGAGAGCCAGATGCCGAAGTGCTAATGCTTTAAATCGAAGCTATCTCTGCATGTAAGCTCTGCAGCCCAGGTTAGGCTGACCTTTCCTTTCACCAGACAAACGAGAGCTTGTTTCGCAGCAAGAAACATCTGTGCAAAGCACGCTGCCTCACTGGCCACGAGCACACGTGTGCTGCAGCTGGGAAGAAAAGGAGTTCTGAAGTCACCACCGCGCTGCTTTCAGCCAGATCACCACTGTCATCAAAATAGCCCTTGTGGCACGTGTGAGGCATTGGAGCTATCTGTTCCTTAAAATAACCTCCAATTGCTTGTGGCAGGCTCTCTGGATGGACTGCTGTGACTATTTTTTCCATTTTCCAGGCCCGGGTTTTATATTTCAGCGTGTCTTCTCCAATATCTGAATGATCTAGAGCAGTCAGAATGGGCAGAGACCAAAATCCTCCCTGTAAGCAGTGGAAGAGGGCAGAACAGGATCTGTTTCTTAGCTCCTAGAAACTGTGCATTTGATTTTGAAACTTGCACCTGACTTCCTTAGGGAGTGAGAAGAGTGAATGTGGTCAGTGGCACGGTTCTTAGATAGCACCAAAGCACCTTCCTCCCCCCATCCCTCTCACACATGTCCTTGCACCTCTAAGGAAGGCCCTTCTGGGAGCTTGGGACAGGGGTTTTCCTGCTGAAAATGGCCCTGTGAGTCAGTCCCTTCCTTCCTGCCCTGTTTTTTTTTTTTTTTTTTTTTTTTTATTTATTACCAGGGTATTCACTGCTTGTGACACTAACACTTGCTTTGTTCTTGTTTTCAACGTAGGAGCCGTAGGTCTTCTGCCCGCTTGTAAGTGCAACTGGTATGGGTAATGGTGTGAGAGAAGGTCAAGTGGATTTCAAACGGCAGGATGTGGAGCCAGCTACATCAACTCATCTTCCTTCAGAGGTAAGAGCAGGGGCTTTGGGGATGCCTGCAGTGGGGCTGAGAGGAGGGTGGCTGCTCTAAAGGAAGCATCTCAGTGAGATTTGAGCTGGGGAGTCCTGGAAGAGCTGCAGTGTACGCACAAGCCGTGCAACTTGGGCTTTCTCAGGACAGCCAAGCAGCTCCAGCCCTCTGGGAAGAGGCTGGGCATGGCTGGGAGCTGACAGGCAGGCAGGGCTGTGTTCCTTGCTCAAGGTTACGTCTTGTTATGTCTTCAGTGGCAGAGCTGGGAAGAGAGCCATAAGCATTGCTTCCCTGCTCATGCTGTTGGTAATAGGCTCCTGTTAGAAACACGGGGAGAGAAAGTTGCAGTGAACCTTGCTCTGGTTTAGATCAGGGTTTCTGCTCGTGTAGAATTGCCTCACTAGAGGTGTGAGGCCAGAACTTAGGCTGAAGTTCACACAGCGCTGCCTGTGCGTGGCTAACCTTGCATTTGGCACCCAACAGGCAGAGACTGGACAGGAAAATTGAACTGAACCATGTATTTCTGTAATAAAAATTAACTTTTTTAGCTGGGAAGCATTCTGAGGGGGTAAAAAAAAAAAAAAAGTTAACTCCTCTATGAAGACACAAAGCACATCAAAAGTTAACATTCTTAAGCCCGGGCTTGACTTGTCTTTCAGTCCGTAACCTTCACGGTGTTAGATTTCAAGTCATTTACTTGCTTTCTGCCCATGTGTTACGAGAAGATAGCTGCTTTATAAATATGAGCTGTGGCAGGAATGTCAATAACAGAAACGCTTCCATTCCATTTATCATAGTAGGAAGCCTGTCTTGTTTTATTCCTGGGATCTAGGGGACAATGTAGAAATAAGGCTTGTGTGTTACTAGAAGGGCAAGAGAGAAATTTAACTTCTCTACATGGCTAAATCATGAGCACATGAGCAGCTAGTGACTTAGCTTTTAGAATTCAGGAGAAAACAGTGCTTGTGAGAGGTGGCAGACCTTGGAACTTGGCATTTTGGCAGGCAAGTCTGAGTGTGGTTCTTAATGAACTGACCAGGAATTTATTGTGCTTGGAATTTGCCATTTTGAAGGGAATGTTGACATTTCCAAAATCCTGGCATTGATTTTTAGCTGTCTCAAGTCTTTCATGAAGAGATTTTGTCTGAGAAGTGGAGTAGCTGAAAATGGCCAGCTGCTGGTCCTTGTCTGTTGAAGGGAAGCTAAAACAAGTCCTAAAGAATGTTCTTGATCCTTGGCACCTTTGTAGAGGAAAGAGACCTCTTTAGTTGAGTGTTGAGAAGATTTTTTTATTTTTTTTTCTTTTTTGAAAAGCATTCCTACCTCCATTGGCAGGTAGGAATAGAAATGAGAACATTCTCATACAGGGCTGGAAGGGACGGGGAAGTTCTTGCAAACAACATGACAAACCAATTCAGGGCAATGCAGCAATGAGATGCATTTCTGGGGGCACAGTGCAATGAGTGTCTGATGGCGTTGCTGTACCACAGAGTTTGTTTGCTCATAGGAGTGAGATTGCAGGATAATGTGGGTGCACGCACCTGAGTTTGGCTCATCCATGTCCTTAGGTGGAGGTAAATATTACAACTTCTGTTTAGGATCAGCTGTGTCACACTGAACAATGTTTTGTTGCAGGGCGTCCAGGAGCAAAAGAAGGTTCTCAACTCCCTGATGTCTGGTGCATTGGCTGGTGCTGTTGCTAAAACTGCAGTAGCTCCACTGGATAGGACAAAAATCATGTTTCAAGGTAAGTCCTGCTGGCTTTTGCAAAATACTCTTACTTTATTGTTAGCAGAATCCAAACCAGCACCAAACCTGTCCAGCCAGCCTGTCTTGCAGTGCTTCGACCTGCAGAGACCTGGCAGAATGCAGACAGAGTAGCGACATTACCACAGTGAATCGAGTCTGGAAATCCATTGTTTGAGTTCTGGTAGGATTATTGCAGATGTTAATCAGCTGTTCATCTGGACCGTGCTCCTGGATCCAAGTCTTGTGGTAGTCAGCAGGAGTTCTGCTATTTTGGTGTAATGCGGGTGCACGTACTGCTGGCTGGAGGCAGATGACTGTGGCTTGTGAGCGTTGGGTGGCTGTGTGTGCTCTGTGACATAAGGCAGAGCTTTGGAGTGCAGAATAAACAGACACTGGAAAGGCTGCGTTTGAGGGGATTATTGGTATCATTTCACATTTCTGTGCTTGTTCAATTTGGAGAAATAATTTCAGGAGGGAAAAGGAGCAGTGTAAGGGGATGTGGTGAGACTGGAAGGATGCAATTGAGCTGTTTGAGTTCCTTCAGGCTGGATGCCAGGCTGTGCCTGCTCAGATGTGTGCAGTCTTCCCTAGTAAGAGTTGTGTTGTATTCCAGCTCAATTGGTTTGGTTAGAGTTGAGGTTAATTATGAAAAGTGCTGTGGGAGACGATGAAGCTGGTGTACCTAGCTTTGTGTTACAAAATGCTTTTTGGAGCCCATAAACTGAGTGTGGAACTGAAAATTATATTCAGCTAATGGGAATTAGCTGAAATGCATGAGGAAATTCTCATGCATTTAGTGGGGTTTGGGGTTCAACCCCTTGATGGGTTCTTTCTAGTTCCCCTGGTTCAGTGCAGGAGCCAGCAGTGATGTTGATTGTCCCAGCAGGAGAGGTGCAATCGATTGATGCAGCAGACATTTTACGAGGCCAAGAATTTTAAATCTGGTTGCCATCCCAGATTAAACGAATTGGGTAGGTTTACTCTAATCCCTGGATGAGATTTAATTTTAAATTGACTTTCATTTGACATGATTTTCGTTCTTGGCATAGCAGGGGCCGAGGTCTGGAATGGAAGGGATATAGATCAGGGCGTTACAGCTGTGGGGAGCTAAAGCCTTGGGTGGGTGCAGGCTGGGATTGCGTCTGCGACCAGCTGCTTCTGTAGCAGTGAGGACGTGCTGTGCTTTCTCACCAGAGCAGGCTCTGTAGTTCATCTAAGGTTGGAAATGTCAGGATCAGAGGTGAGATGGAAACTGCAGAACTGGGGTGAGTCAACAGCTGTCCGTGCAAATCACCATTAACATGCACAGGCCTGAGTGTTATAAAAGGACCTGTTTGGTTTGGCCCATTTAGCTTGCTGCAAAGGATATGACTAAAAATTGCCTGTTTTGACCAACCTCTTGTTATCTAATGGATTTCCTACTCTCGCTGTTCTGAAGGGTTTTGTTACAGACCCTCTTCACAGAAAGGGAAGAGGGAAAGCATCTTTGGGTCATGTGAGCTAGGAAAGTCCTTGGTCGAGAGACCGAGGAGTTTTCCTGTGGAAGCTTGGGAAAAGATTCTTTTCCATTGCAGAGTCAGCTGCAAGTGGTCATTGAGGTGTTTTTAGTTCTATAAAAAAAAAAAAAGTTTGAATTGCATAAAGGAGCAGTGTGGTGAAAATGTATTTGCATGTGATTGTTTGATACACTTGAGAGGTTACAAGTCTCAAAGGAGTTTGAAAGAAACTGCAATAGACACTTAATTGGAACCACGTTTCATTAGCGTTGCTGTTCGGGTTTTAGCCTGGGTTTTCTTCCTGCAGTAGGAATGTTACAAAACAGAGCTGCCGTATGCCAAACAAATCTTGCTTCCAAATGCCTTGTGTATTACATAGTTAAAGAGATGCTGTCAATTTGAATGGATGCAAGAAAAGAAGCTGAGCATTCATCTGAGTTCTGTTAGGATGAAACCATTGTTGCGTGGAGCCTCGCTAAACAGACCCGCTTTTGGCTGGATTCTGGCATTAGTCTGGAACCTGAGCGTGGAAATGCTCTACTGAAATCAGTTGTGGGTGTTCCTTTTTTTTATTGCAATTGTTATTCACTAATTTTAATGCTTTAAGAAGTGACAAACTGAGCATTTTCATAAAAGTAGGTGGGAAAATGAACTCATCTGCTGAAGAGTGTTTGGGAAATCTTTTTTCTTTGTTACAAAGAATCTTTTTTTTTCTTGCATTCATTCTTTTGCTTTTATTTTTATTCCTTAAATATCTGTATTGTTTCTTTTAATCAATCTAAACGTATTGCAAGACCTAATACTCGCTTTTTCTTTTTAGTGTCTTCAAAAAGATTTTCTGCCAAGGTGAGGTGATGTCTGTGTCCTGTTGTCCTGATAATCCAGGCGGGCACTGATGACATTGACAACAGAAGCCTGAAGGCTATCAAAAGAGACTTTAGGGGACTGGGACGGTTAGTGGACGGAGCAGGAGTGCAAGTAGTTTTTTCGTCCGTCCCTACGTTGACAGGTAGGGGTACGGAGAGGACAAGGAAAGCCCACCTGTTAAACACGTGGCTCCGGGGCTGGTGCCTACGCAGAAATCTTGGGTTTTTCGACCATGGGGCAGTTTACTCAGCACCTGGTCTGGTGGCCGTAGACGGGTCCCTATCCTTTAGGGGAAAAGGATCCTGGGCCAGGAGCTGGCGGGCTCATTGATAGGGCTTTAAACTAGGTAAGAAGGGGGATGGGCTGGAAGCGAGGACTGTTGGGGCTGTACCAGGGGAGCAGTGGCAAGGCCGGAGGATAAGGTAAAGGCCCAGCTGAAGTGCATCTACACCAATGCACGCAGCATGGGTAACAAACAGGAGGAGCTGGAAGCCATCGTGCAGCGGGCAGGCTACGACTTGGTTGCCATCACGGAAACGTGGTGGGACCAGTCTCATGACTGGAGTGCTGCGATGCCTGGCTATAGGCTCTTCAGAAGGGACAGGCAGCATGGAAGGGGTGGCGGTGTGGCTCTCTATATTAGAGAGTCTTTCGATGTTGTAGAACTCGAGGCTAGGAATGACAAGATCGAGTCCCTTTGGGTTAGGATCGGCAGGGACAACAAGGCTAGTGTCCTGGTCGGGTCTGCTATAGACCGCCGAACCAGGATGAGGAGACGGATGAGGAGTTCTACAGGCAGCTGACAGAAGTTGCGAAATCGTCAGCGCTTGTACTCGTGGGGGACTTCAACTTCCCTGACATATCCTGGAAGCAAACACAGCCCAGAGGAAGCAGTCTAGGAGGTTTTGGAGAAAGTGGAAGATAGCTTCCTGACGCAGCTGATTAGTGAACCTACCAGAGGTGGTGCCCTGCTAGACCTTCTCTTCACAAACAGAGAAGGACTGGTGGAGGATGTGATTGTCGGAACAGTCTTGGGCAGAGTGACCACGAAATGGTGGAGTTCTCTATTCTTGGCGGGGCCAGGAAGGGAACCAGTAAAACCACTGTATTGGACTTTCGGAGGGCTGACTTTAGGCTGCTCAGGACACTGGTTGTGGAGTCCCATGGGAGGCGGTTCTGAAGGGCAGAGGGGTTCAGGAAGGCTGGGTGCTATTCAAGAGGCAAATCCTAATGGCACAGGAGCGGTCTATCCCCATGTGCCCAAAGATGAGCCACCGGGGAAGACGACCAGCCTGGCTCAACAGAGAATTGTGGCTTGAGCTTAGGAGGAAAAAGAGGTTTATAATCTTTGGAAAATTGGGCAGGCCACTAGGGAGGACTATAAGGATGTAGCGAGGCTGTGCAGGGACAAAATTAGGAAGGCCAAGCTCATCTGGAGCTCAAGCTGGCTACTGCCGTTAAAGATAACAAAAAACGCTTTTATAAATACATCAACACAAAAAGGAGGACTAAGGAGAATCTCCATCCTTTACTGGATGCGGGGGGAAACTTAGTTACAAGAGATGAGGAAAGGCGGAGGTGCTCAATGCCTTCTTTGCCTCAGTCTTTAGTGTAAAACCGGTTGCTCTCTGGATACCAGTACCCAGAACTGGTGGAAGGGGACGGGGAGCAGGATGTGGCCCTCACCATCCACGAAGAACTGGTTGGTGACCTGCTACGGCACTTGGATGTGCACAAGTCGATGGGGCCGGATGGGATCCACCCAAGAGTACTGAGAGAACTGGCAGAGGAGCTGGCCAAGCCCCTATCCATCATTTATCAGCAGTCCTGGCTATCGGGGGAGGTCCAGCTGACTGGCGGCTAGCAAATGTGACGCCCATCTACAAGAAGGGCCGGAGGGCAGACCCGGGGAACTACAGGCCGGTCAGTTTGACCTCAGTACCAGGGAAGCTCATGGAGCAGAATCCTCTTGGAGTCATCATGCGGCACTTGAAGGGCAAGCAGGCGATCAGGCCCAGTCAGCATGGGTTTATGGAAGGCAGATCCTGCTTGACGAACCTGATCTCCTTCTACGACAAGTGACGCGCTGGGTGGACGAGGGAAAGGCTGTGGATGTGGTCTACCTTGACTTCAGCAAGGCTTTTGACACCGTTTCCCACAGCATTCTCCTCAAGAACTGGCTGCTCTTGCTTGGACTGGCACACGCTTCGTTGGGTTAGAAACTGGCTGGATAGCCGGGCCCAGAGAGTTGTGGTAAATGGAGCCAAGTCCAGTTGGAGGCCGGTCACTAGTGGCGTCCCCCAGGGCTCGGTGCTGGGCCGGTCCTCTTTAACATCTTCATCAATGATCTGGACGAGGGCATTGAGTGCACCCTCAGTAAGTTTGCAGATGACACCAAGCTAGGTGCGTGTGTCGATCTGCTTGAGGGTAGGAAGGCTCTGCAGGAGGATCTGGATAGGCTGCACCGATGGGCTGAGGTCAACTGTATGAAGTTTAACAAGGCCAAGTGCCGGTCCTGCACCTGGGCGCAATAACCCCAAGAAGAGCTACAGGCTGGGAGAGGAATGGCTGGAGAGCTGCCAGGCAGAGAAGGACCTGGGAGTGATGGTGGACAGTCGGCTGAATATGAGCCAGCAGTGTGCTCAGGTGGCCAAGAAGGCCAACACCATCCTGGCTTGTATCAGAAACACTGTGACCAGCAGGGCTAGGGAGGTGATCGTCCCCCTGTACTCGGCTCTGGTGAGGCCGCACCTCGAGTACTGTGTTCAGTTCTGGGCCCTCGCTACAAGAAGGACATCGAGGTGCTTGAGCGGGTCCAGAGAAGGGCGACGAAGCTGGTGAGGGGCCTGGAGAGCAAGTCCTATGAGGAGCGGCTGAAGGAGCTGGGCTTGTTCAGCCTAGAGAAAGGAGGCTCAGGGGTGACCTTATCACTCTGTATAAGTATATTAAAGGAGGCTCTAGCGAGATGGGGTTGGCCTGTTCTCCATGTGCCTGGTGACAGGACGAGTGTTTGATTAATGGTAGCAATAGACCTAAAAGCACCTTTTGTTTGTATATAACATCCTTGTTTGAGTTTTATTAGCGGCACTCATAGTGAAAGAGCACAGAGGGCTGGAAACAGTATATAATACTTAATTATGATACTGTTAGGACAGCACTCTTCCTTGTTAATGTTTTTGCCCAGTGCCAAGCACTGAGGGGCCTCAGTCCTCACTCATGCTCCAGGTTCTACCTTTGACAGTAAATGTGGCTTCCCTCCAAGCTGTATTCTGCTAGGAATTCTCCTCTAGTGATTGCTTTTTCCCTCTCAGCCATCACTGGAATTGTTTCAGAATATATAGGAAACTTGAACCTGGGAGCTGATTGCAGTCGTGGCTTGCTGGATGTTTTGTTGCATGTGCGTTGCAGATGTTCCACGTGTGCTGTGCTAATATGTGTAATCCAAATGTTTCTGCCTTATGCTAAGAGGATTAATTTGGGTGGAAAAGTGGTTTGTGCATCATCAGTCCAGCTCTTTGCCTTGCCCTCAGAGAGAAAATGAAGATGTTGTGAATGTAAAACTGTCTTCCTAGCTCCACTTCTTTTTTCCTCTAATGTAGCTGATCCATCTCCCTAGAGCAGAGGTTTTAGCTGTCTCTTTCTGGAGTCGGGGTTGTGAGTGTAAACAGCTGATACCAGCCTACTGAGGTTATGGGGGGAAGGAGGATTTGGAAAGGTTAAGCTATAGGGTCACCTTTTCCCCCCTTCTATTGTTTGGATTCCTCTTATCATGATCTCCTGCTCTGACCTTTGATCCGTTGCCTGCAGGAAGCCTACAGGCTGATTTATCGCACCTACCTCAACGAAGGCTTCTGGAGTCTCTGGCGGGGGAACTCAGCCACCATGGTCCGTGTGATCCCTTATGCTGCCATTCAGTTCTGTGCGCACGAAGAGTACAAGCAGCTCCTGGGGAGTTACTACGGCTTCCAGGGAAAGTAAGACGCAGCATGGCTTTGATCCTTGCAGAGGAAGATGGAGCAGTTTGTGGGACCGTAGGTCGTAGGGAGGGAGCACGTTTCTCTGCTGTTTGCAGGCTTGCTGAGTTGAAAGCTGTTGGTACAGAGTTGTGCCAGCTTCTCTCGTGATAGGTTTGCAAAACAGGACCTGTGAGGGGGCTGAGCAAAAGGCTTCTAGTCTTGCACAGGGGAGACACTGGTGAGAAGACCCTGTTTTCTAGAGGCATGAGCAAGAAGTGGCCTAGACATTAAGTTAGCGCTTCCCTGTGCTGTGAGTGGGCAGGCAAAACAAAGAGAAGCAGGAGAAGCAACGAGATCCAGCCTCGTGCTGTTACCTGAGCCCTTTTTCTATGTGCATGTGGCCTGAGCCTCTTGCTCTTGGGCATGTAGTGTCTGAGACACTCCCAAGTCAGGCTTTCTGTCCTCTAAAGCTTCAGTCTTGAACAGCTGTGGCAAACCACAGCAGCTTCACCCCATCCTACCCCAGCTCTCTCCAGTCCACAGGCAGGGAAGGGATTCAGTAGCTGACAGAGTAGAGCCGTGCTGAAAAGCCACGTAGCGTTACCAGCTCCAGGTGATCTCTTTGGTCTCTTCTCTCACCTTACTTTAGAGCGCTGACACCCTTTCCTCGATTCATTGCTGGCTCTCTGGCAGGCACAACGGCTGCCATGTTAACCTACCCCTTGGATATGGTCCGTGCTCGAATGGCTGTCACGCCGAAGGAGATGTAAGTGCCTAATGAAAGCAAGTATTAGCACCATGAACAAACGCAGAACTTTCTTTTAAGGTCAGATGACTTTTTTCCCCCCCATTTTCTGGGTCACTTCTTGCTCGGAGCCTTTGGTGTAAGAAACCTGTTACCGTGTGGGTCTGAGCACTGATGAAATGACCACAGCCCTGCGTAGTTCTGGGACTGGAAGGAGATGGAGACTCAAAAACCTCACTAGAAAAAACGATTTGTTGGCCTGCTAGGAGGCCAGCTGGCACAATGCCTCTGGAAGAGTTCGAATAGACAGGATAGCACGTTGTGATAGGGCTACAGGAGAGCTTGTGACTGGGCTTCTCCATTTACAGACAGGCTTCTAAAATCCTTTCTGAGCTGTCTGATGAGCTCAGAGCCGAATTAATTAATCGTTGATCCTTCAGAAAGTCCTGTTGGAAATACGACCCATATGTGCAGGCACTAACTAGCGTAGGTTTGGTTTTCCTGTGTCCACGTGCTAGGTACAGCAATATTGTTCATGTCTTCATCCGAATATCCCGAGAGGAAGGATTGAAGACATTGTATAGAGGATTTACACCAACCATCCTTGGAGTGATTCCATATGCCGGGCTTAGCTTCTTCACCTATGAGACGCTGAAGAAACTACATGCAGGTAAAAGCAACTTTTTCTTTGCTTTCAGATGAAATGCCGTAGGCTTTTGGCCAATTTAAGGTGTTTGAATTCAGTGGTGTAAGTCGTTTTCCTGGCCTTGAAGCCAATTGCTAAATTCTGTGTTTGTGGAGGATGCCTTGTGCCTCCCTCATGCCAATTCCAGACTTTTGAAGAAAGCAAGCTGCAAGAAAAGTAGTATTTCCATCTCACACCTCCTTGTTCCTCTGCAAGTCCTGACTGCAGAATGGATTTGGTTATATCCCAAATCAGCTAACCCCCAAACTGGGAACGAAATCTCAGGAGCTCTGTTGCTCAGTCCTCTCTCTGGCTCCCAGCCCACTCGACCTTAGTCATGTGCTTATTTACAAGCAGCTTTCCACCCTCTGCTACTTTCTCTTTCCCAGATCACAGCGGGAAATCGCAGCCATCCCCTCCGGAGCGCCTTCTGTTTGGTGCCTGTGCAGGCTTGATCGGCCAGTCGGCTTCCTACCCCCTGGATGTGGTTCGCCGACGGATGCAGACGGCGGGGGTTATGGGACACACGTACAGTTCCATCCTTCTCACCATGCAGGAGATTATACGAGAAGAGGGACTAATCCGGGGCTTGTACAAAGGACTCAGCATGAATTGGGTCAAAGGTCCAATTGCAGTGGGAATAAGCTTCACGACCTTTGACCTGACGCAGATCCTTCTCCGTAAATTACAGCACAGCACTAATGTTGAAAGGTAGTAGCTTAATCCCCACAGCCCTGGCTGGAGAAAAGTACAACACGTGTAGAAAGAGCAATGCTAGTGTTCCCTCACTTTGTACGTGCTCTCCTGCAGCTGAGAACTTTATCTTTCTTGTTTGTTTGTTCACTTTGTGGTGGTGATGGGCTTTTTTTTTCCCCTTTTTTTTTCTGTTTAACGAGCCTCTGTGTTTGGAAACCTCAACCTGAAACTAACCCTTTCCTGAAAGAAATTCTTCTTACTGTTCTGCGGACCTGTGTCCTCTAGAGTAGCTGCCTCATCCTTTTTGTCTTATTCTTTGATACCAGGAGTGGAGCCTCTCAAACAAACATGTGCTGCTGCTGGCTCCTCACCTGGTCTCTGTGGGCAGGTGAAGTGGTGGAGGACTCGGTGCTGTTGGAGTGAACTCCTGGATTTGGGAAGTGACTGCTACTCCTGGTAGGCAGCTCTTACTGCACATGTGTGAGCTGGAGGCAGTCTGCCAAGTGCAATATTCCAGTTAATCTGTAGGGAATTCCAGATTCCTCTGACCTGTAAGCACTGGTCTCTGTAAAACAGGCCGCAGCAGGATTTAACAGGTCCGGGTCACTTCTTTTGTTCTGGAAGTTGAATGTGAGCTGTGGCTGGAAATGCTGCCCTTTTTCTAATGTTCTTTTCATTTCTGGGTTGAGTTGCATAAAATATCCCTTGCTTGCAGTGTCCCTCTGAGATTACCAAAGACTGTAGACAGCAGGGGAGGAAAGCTCTGAGCAGTTTTGTAAATCAAATTCTTATGTTTGTTGTCAGTGTCGTTGACTAGGGGCTGTGCCTGGATTCACAAACTGGATTGAAGCGAACTGCAGTAGTGCTTTCGGGCCATCTGAACCCTTCCATTGTTGTCGTGGTCTTAAAGGCAGCATTTTCTGAGGGATTTGGCAGGCTGTGCCATAGACGAGAAAAAGAACTGTTACGTTCTTAAATTCCAAGCAGTTATATCTTTCAGTATTATTGTCGCTGCTTTATGCGTTTTGCAAGAACAAACATCTCAAAGATGCACGTGTGGTGCAGGTTTAGCTACCCTGACAGGCTGTTTCTGTCTGGTGAAGGCAGCCTAGTAGTCACCTCGAGCTGCTGGCCCTGCTTGTGAACAACATTCTTGTCATTTGCCTGCTGTGTAGGTTGCATCACCTCTGTTCGTTAGTCCATACCTGAGCCCACTTGGTTTTGTTCCTGGAGTTCTTCTGGACCAACTGTGTCCTCAAGAGAATGGGCTCCCCAATCAGTATTGACCCCTCCAAAATGAAATAGAGTGCCAATCGTTTCCAGTTGCAATCGGAAAATGAATGGTGAAGTACCTTTCATTGTTTCTATTTCAAGTCAGGCTTCAGAGAAATGGAGATTTGAGGGTGGTTTTGTTTTATGTTCCATTCCTGTATTAAATTTGGAGTGCAAGAGAGGTCACAACGAGCTTTAGACTTCTCTGCGAATCCGATTCCACGAGCCAAGATTAAAAATCCCTTTCCAGCTGATATAGTTCATGTAGAGGGGAGATAACATACAAAAGAAAAATAAGGCATAATTTAAAAGCTGTTCTTCTCTGGTGTATATATTTTAGCCATTGTAGTTCGAGCCTTGTGTCACGGCTTTATTAATGGGAATGGAGGTAATTGCACAATTGGTAGAAATAGCTTTCGCCTTTCTTTTGTCTTTGCACTTGTTCTTTGGAGCATAACTTGCTTCTAATGCCAAATATTTCCCTAGGAATCGAGCACCTGTGCTTCCATTTTGTGGTCACTGGTGGAGAGTCAGCATTCTGAAGTATTAGCACGCGTGTTGATCCCAAAACACGGGGTCGATCGTACTTTAATGGTTGTGGATGGGCGGGGTATTAACCTCAGTAATTTCTGCCTCTAAGCCCACAGATGATGATGATTTCCCTTGTGAAACTTGACTGCAGTCACTGATTTACCTTGTAATTAATGTTAGGTGTTGTCCTAAGAGGCTTCAGAGATGGTAGCCATGAAATCTGTGTATTTTTTTGCCCCCGTTGTCAGTGGAAGATTACCAGCTGTTCTCTTCGTTTGGGTGAAAGGTTTAGTCCTTTGCAAGAGCTCTGATTTCTTTTCTCCAATGGAGAAGCCAATTACTTCTGCTCTTGTCTTTCTCTTGTTTGGCCCAGGGAGGAAACACTAAGGCAGTTGCATCCTACCACAAAAGTGAGGTACAGACCAACGAGGAGAGTCGGTGGTTGACTGTGTGTACGTGTGTATGGGTGTCTGACTGTGAGTACAATCCATGCCAAGTTCTCTCTCAGCTTGGAGGCTGCTGGTTCAAGGCACAGCCCTTTCTGCACAGCTGGTGGCCACTGTATGAACAGGAAAGGGAGCAGAATTGTGGCGTCCAAGCTTGAGCAGGCTGCTTTGCTCCCAGTACGGCTCCCGGTCTGAGGCGAGCGCAGCAGACCTTGTCTTAGGAGGTGTTGAGCATCGCTGAACCCCTGGGGCAACAGAGGTGGCTTAATTCCTCCTGGCTCCTAAGAAAGGATTTACACTAGATGACTAGCCTCTTGTTTGGGACCGAACAGGAGGATGGATTTGCACGGGGTACCTTCTGCCACATCAGGAGTGCAGCTGATGTGTTAAATAAACAGGAAAACTGTGGAGGAGACACCTCCTGGCTGGGCAGCCCTGGCATCGCCCCCCCCTTGCACCATGAGAGCGGTGCGAGCAGCTCGTCTGGGGCCTTAGGACCCCGAGCTGAGAATCGAGACCTGAAGTACAGCCAGGCTTGGAAGTACTGAGCTGAGAGGAGCTGTTCTTTAATTAGCAGCTGCACCTGCTTTTAATTCAACGAACTTTTAGCCAAACGTGGTTTTCCAAGTTTTACAGGCTGAGCGCTCATTCAGAGGCAGATCTGAATTCAGTCTGTAATGGTTTTGGTGCTTTTGTTTCTTGGGCAAAAGAGTAACTGTGTTACTGCTTTGGGCTGTTTTAAATAGCTTTTTTTTTTTTTTTTTTTTTTTTTTTATCTGATTTGAATGTAGAAGAGGAGAAACGGAGCGTTCTCTTCCTGTCTCTTAATCCTTGCATGAATTGTGACGTGTTCCAGATCTCTGTGCTGCCTGGAATGAGTGCCTGAGGAGTTTTGGGCATGGTGATTTGGAATGGGAAGGTGCCTGTGGTGTGCTGGCAAGGAAGGTCTGTTGCCTTTAGGTCTGAGAAAGAAGACAAGTCTAGCAGGAATATCCTCTAGTCCTTCTTTTCTTTAGGACTACTTTACTACCACAAATTCTCTGATTTATTTTTTTTTTTCCTTTTGCTCTTCTCAGATTCCTCGCTTTTATTTTCAACTCACGTATCTTAATGTTCTCTAATGCATTACTGCCAAACATTCATTCGTGCTTATTTCTTCTCGTCCGTTCTCCCTTTCTTCCTGATTCTGCACCTTTAGTCCTGCACTAGCACTTCGAGAAAATCAGGTCCAATGAAATGCATCCAAAATGACAAAACTGCAGTTTTGACAGCGATCCCTGAAACAGCCCAACGAGGCTTCCTGCTCACTGGCAAGGATGCCTGCGTTTGGGGGCAAGAAGTTAAAGGCACTAGGGAATGGGGCAGGAGGTTTTCTTGAAAGGTTCTTGAATTAATTGCCCGGTCTAGCGCCTTTCCTTCTGCACATGCTTGAAATGCTGCTTGTCATGTCCTCTGTCGGTACCTCCACACGATGCTCACTGTGCTCTGTGACGGTGGCTGCTTGCTGGGTCAGCAGCTCGGGGAGAGCTTGTACTTCTGGAGGCTCGGAGGGTTGGGTGAGGGAGGTTCGTATGCCAGAGGTGGGACCTGAGCTGGCTTTTTACAGATCCCTTTGCCCTGCATGCCCCGCCTGCTCCCCAGGAGGACAGGCTGGGGGCTGGTGGGACTGTGGTGGAAGGACTGGGAGAGGAATCCTGGCCTCCTGAGGCACGAAGTCACGGCCAGCCCTGAGATGGGTGGCATGGTGTAGCACTGGTACTCGATGAGAGCTCTTCCAGAGCAGCTCCCTGCCTTCTCTGGAAGAGTAGTGGTACTTCTGTTTTTGTAGCCTTCCACCGAGAAGGACTCGAGCACTGTCATCTTCACTCTGTGGTGGCACGAACACAAAAGCAGGTGAGGCACGAAAGGAAACTTTGGGCAGAAGCACTGTGGTGACCCTGAGCATGTCTGGTGCCAGTTCCAGGCGGGCAGGAGGGGAGGCAACGCCGTGCAATCCTTCCCGTGCCATTTGTGCAGTGTCTGACCACGTCCTCGGGCTCTGCAGAGAGCCAGGGCACGTCACAGACCCTCCCTGACTGGACTGGACCAGAGAAAAGGAGGTGGCCGTCCTACAAAACAGCCTTTTGATTGTAGGGGCCGCTTCCTCCTGCTCCCTCTGCCTCCCCCTTACACGCCGTGTGACGCAGGGTTTCCCAGCACTGCTCACTGCCTGTGTGGTCTATGCATATATTAGCACAAACACTGTTAAATGCCTTTTGTCGGGACGTGTCCTCCCCGTCGGTGTGTGTGTATGCGTGTGCGCGCGTCAATTTGGACTGCTTTTCTTGGATCTGGAGTTCTATTTTATTGCAGTGAAGACACTTTGTTATATAATGTTTATATATTTTAAGATTTGTGCCAAGAGAGGATGTATATTTAATAAAAAATCTAATTGACTTTGCAGGCTCTTTTTCAGGGTGTCTCCTGTTGGATTTTGCTCATCAGAGAGAGGGGGCCCGGCACACACGGGTGGGTTATCGAGGGATTAACCACGGGGGTGTCGGGGCTGGGGGTTCTTCTTGTGGGACCAACCATTTGCCTGGCCCTACAAGTCTCCTGTGCGTGGTGCTCCCTTGAAAGTGCACGCTTTGGTGTTTGGGGTCACACACGTGTGGCTTCGTGTGGAAGCAGGGGGGCGAGCAGCTCTGGGGCTGTTTTTAAAGCCTTTGCTGTCCCCGTCCCCAGCGCCGCGGTGTGGGACGGGGACGGGTGTGCAGTGGCAGCAGGTGGCACTGTCGGCTTAGGCATGGCCCAGCGGCTGCCCTGAAGTTGGGGTCCCCTGGCTGCCGCTCAGCCCGGCTCAGATCTTGGGGTTTTCAGGGCTTTCAGCTGCATTTCAGGTCTGGTGTGCTCTCATTGCAAGGGAAAGGTCCCACAGCGGGGACAGATCCTGCCCTCCCTGCAAGGCAGGGCCGAGCTGATGTCCTGTCTCTGCTTCCCCAGGGATGCAGCCCTGGAGGCCCTGAGATTTGCACCGAACCTTGCAGGGAGCCTGTGAGAGCTGGAGAACAGCCCTCGCGTGCTGCGCTGTTCCCATCCACCTGGCCCAGCTGCTCCTCGCTCCTGCTGCCTGAAGTTATCATCTCCACCAGGTTGGTTTGGGCCCCGCAGCGAGCTCTGCTCGCAATTTTTCCTGCTGCCCCAAGCAGGAGCAGCTCTGCAGGACGCAGGCAGGAACGAGGGGATCCCAATTTGCGTGGAAGCAGGGTGGGAAGGCAGGGATCGCTGCCTTCTTTCCTCCCTGCTCTGGGGCATCAAAGAAAACCTCCAGGAACATTGGCCATCGAAGCCTTCTCCCCAAGCCTTGGGTTTTCTGGCCGAGTGCTGCTCGGTGGCAGCTGGAGGTAGGTGTGAACACATGGGAGAGGGGGCGATGCGAGGCCAAATGTGGGTGCCAGCCTGAATCCTGGTGGCAGCAGAGCCCTGGCAGCACAAAATCTCTTGGTCCCAGCTGCCCCCTGCTCCGCTGAGAGCCCTTTGGGGAGCAGGGCTCCCACAACGTTACCACAACGTTAAATAAAGCGGAGATCCAACGAGTAAAATAATGCCGGGGAGAGAAAGACGGGGGGCTCCTTCATTTTATTTGATGTGGCCCAATTTCAGTGCCTGTGGATCTGTCTCCTGCTCTTGGCTAGTCTATCAGTCATTGTCCCCGCCTGAGAGGGTCACGTCTGGGCAGATCTCTGGGGAGGAACTGTCTGCATGTCTGACTGCAGCACAACCCCAGGCCCTAGCAACCCTCCTCCTGCTGCCACCGCTTCCCCGAGCTCAGCCCCCGGCTGCTTCCTGCACATGCTTAGGGAAAATTAGATAAATGAGCCATCAAGGCAGTCGGACTGGCCTTTAATGGGACAGTGCAGGCTGGAACAAGTCTCTTTGCCTCCTGGCCCTGGGGGAAATCTCCATCCTTGCACCTTTCCACCCATTTCTTGGTGACAACGCTGCTGGGGCAGAATTTCTCCTCGCCTTGTGGCTTGTCAAGGGTGCTGCTCTGGGCTAGTTTCCCCAGATTTTTGCAAAAGGGGAGGTTTTCCCCTTTTTTTTTTGCAGAAGGGCTGGCTGCACTTTGGGTCCGGGGGAAGCAGCTGGAGGAGGGCTGTCTGGATTAGCCCTGTTAACACCGGGCAAAGGGCGGCCTTCTCATCTTGGCCCTTAGCAAGAGGGAATTAAGACCATTACAAGGCTATCAAATAGGATCAGAGCCCCTTTCCTTTTCTCTGAGCAGCCCAGACCTGCTAATCCTTTTTCATGCAGCTGGACCAGCACCCACCGTGCGGTGGGGAAGAGCTGGGCTGCCTCGCTGCCCCGGGAGCCTCCAGGAGCTGCACGAGGGGCTGCGTCCCCTCAAATGCTGCTGGGATCGGAGCGTTATTAGCCTGGTTTTGATCCCAATGCAGATGGGGAGGAGTGGCTGGGAACAGAGTCCGGCTGCCATGGGGTGAACACAAGGTCTCGAGTGTTTGTTCAAGTGTTTGGCCTCATCCTCTCACTGTGAATACACCCCCAGGAGGGGCTTCGGGGCAGCAAAGTGCAAGCAAAGCAGCTTTCGGAGTCCCAACCAGCCTCTGGGTTACTTATTTATTTCTACAGCAGCCCCCAGCTGAGGCTGCCGGGTCTGCGGATTTCACACAAAGCAGAGGGATGAGCCCGACAGCTCTGACGTGGCTGGCCAGAGCAGAGACCCTACAAAAATACACTCGCCCTCAGCCAGGAGAGGCAAACTACGCAGAGCAAAACCCCAAAGTCTGCGCTGGGAAGGGAGGACGTTGCCCCAAGGTCTCTGCCATGCAAGGCCGATCCTGCTAGCAGCTGAGCCTCTTCCCAGCAGCAATGGCTTGGATTTGGCAGCAGCAAACCCCGCTGGGGGGGGACCTCCCTCCCCCTGCAGGCAGCATCCCACGCGGGGACAGAGACAGGCACGGTGGTGAAGGGCAGCAGGAAAGGGAGAAGGCGATGCCCACGCTGGCACCGCTGCACAAAACCCCTCGTGCCAAGAGCTGGCTGCAGAAGTGTCCCAGGTGCACGTCCTCGTGGGCACGTGTAAGCAGGGAAACCAGCCGAGGCAGCAGCAAGGTGGCAAAAGGCAAACACCCCGCGGGCACGGGACGCGTGCGGGGCCAGCAGCCGGGCACTGACCGTGCCCCCAGGCAGGTCCCAGCTCCCCCAGTCAGGACGCTGCCAGGTACTGGTGGAAGTAGAGGCCGAAGAGGCTGGTGACGACTTGGCAGACGGCCACCCACCAGGTGACGAAGGCGAGGAGTCCGTGGAAGAAGAGAGGGGTGAAGATGCCGCCCAAGACGCCTGTGATCTGCTCCACCGCGGCACGCACGTCCTCACCGTCCTCGCTGCCGGGACGCGGCGGCGCTGCGCTCACTGCCGGAGAGACGAGAGAAGGCTCCGGGTACAGCCCCCACGAGTGGTGCCCTGTGTGACAGAGGGGACAGGAGCCTGAGGATCGTCGGCACAACCTCCAGCAGCACCTCGGGGGGCTGCCTCGGGTGCCGGCGGCTCCTTACCCAGCGTTTTGAGGAGCAGGGCGCAGTGCAGGGTGAGGATGACGGGCCCCAGGTACTGCAGGCTGACCACCGAGACGTAGCAGTAAATCCGCGTGATCTGCGCACAGAGGGGCAGCAGGGATCAGCATGGGGGGCTCCCAGCCGTGCCCCCCAACCCCTGGGCTCCCCCTCAAAGCACCAGGACCTTGCGCTGGATCTCCACGGCGGCGATGCGCCCCGCTTCCCTCCTCATCTGCTCCACCCAGCGCTCGGCCAGGCCCAGGTAGGCCTGGAGGTGGTGGCGGGTGACGGCCAGGCGCAGCAGGCAGAGGCCGACGATGGTCCAGAGGCGCGCGGTGTTGTAGGCAGAGTCCGACATGCTGCAAGGAGAGGAGGGGGCTGCAGGAAAAGGGTCCTGCGGTCCGGAATCCCACCCACGTAAGTCAAGGAGGAGGGGAGCTGGAGCGCCCCGTGCCTCAGTTTCCCCTCAGAGCGAGGTCCCTGGGGCACGGGGTGACGCCGTGTCCCGCTTACAGCTGCACCGTCTGCTTGCCCATGGGCGCGTGGAGCAGGAAATCCCTGGAGATGGGCTTGATCCACATCACCACCACGATGACGGGCGCCAGGAAACTCGTGTGGAGCAGGACCCTGCGGCAGAACCAGCAGAGACCCCATCAGAGACGTCCTTACCCGACCCCTCACCACAAAGCCAGGGGGTCCGGGCCCCCCCCCAAACCTCCTTCCCTCCCCTCCCGGCCCCAGGTTTCACCCAACTGGGTCAGGGGCTTGTCGGCCGCCATCCGCAGAGCGTCGAGGTGGGTCTGGGCCAGGCGCAGCCCCGGGAAGGTCAGGCAGGCGCCCAGGAAGGAGCAGAGGGCCACCAGCCCCAGCTTGAAGGCCAGCTTGGCGAGGGGCACCCTGCGCAAAGAACAAGGGGACAGGAGGGGGACAGAGGTTGGCCCCATCCCCACGGAGCCCCAGGGGACCCTGTGGTCCTTCCTCTCCCGTGGGTTGCAGAGAGGGGAAGCCCCATTTCCCAAACCCTGTTTCCCAAATCCCATTTCCCAAACCCCGTTTCCCAAACCCCATTTCCCATCCTGATGCCAACTCACGTCCACTCCCAGCCCCGCTGCTTCAGGACGCTCTCCAGGTTGCTGCTGACGCCGGCCAGCCCTGGGGGGAGCAAGGGGCCATGAGTGGGGTGCTCGGGGCCACCTACCCGCATCGCCCCGTCCCATCCCCTCGTACCCACCCGGCTCGAGGCCGAACTCCAGGTAGTCCTCGCGGATCACCAGGGCCACCATGGCGAGGAGGAGGAAGAAGAAGGCGAAGGTGAGGCAGACGGAGCGCTCGCCCCCCTCCTCCGAGCGGAAATAATGGCGCATCACCATGAAGAAAACCTTACTGCGGGCGTGGGGGGGTCGTCAAGGAAAGCAGGGGCTATGGGACCCCCCCCCAGAGCCAGTGGAGCCCCTAATAATCATAATCAGCCCCTGCTCATTAGCATCTACGCCATTAGGCCACCACCACCTCGGCACAGAACGCTCTTGGGCACAGCCGGTGGTTTACAAGTCCACGAATTTGGACCTAAATTTCCAAGCCCCAAAATCCTTCTGTTTCACCCAGCTTCAAAATGAGAACAAGACCGAGGAGCTTGGGGTCTTCTCCCCCCGCCCAGCGGCGGCACGGACCCGGGGGGGTGGCGGGGGTCTCGCCCCAGCGCTGGGCAGCCCCGGCAGAAGGATACACGGAGAAGATGACCGTCAGCAGGCACCACAGCACCCCGATGTTGGTCTCTTTTTTGGGGTCCGCCAGGCAGAAGTAGCCCTCGGTGAAGACGTACACGGCGGTGGAGTAGACGGCGAAGTCCACGAACCATTGGTACTCCAGGAAATAGCGCAGCACTGGGGGGGGACGGGACAGGGGGACACGTCACCGCGCCGCGGGGGTCCCACCATGGGCACCCAGGCATGGCCAGGGGTCCCGGATGGAGGGCAGTGGGGTGGGTGCATGGGATGGGGGCTCTGTGGGTGCTCCTGGGGCTGGGGGGGTTACCGAGAGCATCCACGGCCGTGATGGGGCTGGTGTCCAGGCGGAGGTCGATGTCACGGGGCACGGAGAGGGGTTTGTCATCCAGCACGCCGTTCACCCTCCTGTAGGGGAAACGTGGGCTTAGGGCGGGCGGGCAAAGAGCTGGCTCATCCCTTGGGTCCCACAGTGCCCAAAGACCCTTTTAGGGTTTCACGTCCCCAGCTGGGGGCTCATCATCATCATCATCATCATCATCATCACGGACAGCCCCCAGCCCGCCTGCGGCTGAGGCTGCCGTCACTTTTGCAGCTCCCACCAGGTCCGGGATCGCTTCCCTTAAAACCAACCCAAAATATTGATCCCGGGAAGTGCCCCCCCCACCTGTCCCGCTTGGCCTTGGGGCGCTGCTTGCCCGCCAGGGCGCGGAGCTCCTCTTCCGACGGGTGCTTGTAGCGGTGCAGGCTGGAGAAAACGGGGGTGTAAGCGGGGCTGGGTGCCCCCAAAACCCCACAGGGCTGGGGGTGTCGGGGTTTGGGGGGGGGTGTCGGGGGCCATACCTGCCGTTGCAGAGCAGCCAGCGGGCGAAGGAGCAGTGCGGGGCCAGCTTCTGCATGACGCTGGCTGCCAGCAGGCTCACCACCACCTGCACCCCCATCACCGCCTGCGCCGGGGGGGGCGTTTAGGGGCTGACCCTGGCACCCCCCTCACCCCCCCTCCCAGAGCATCCCTGGGCTGGGGGAGCCCCCCCTCCAGCTCCCTGCCTTGGGACATGCACCCCTGGGCATTAATCGCCCCCCCCCCCCCCAGGGACAGCCTGGGGATGCACCCCTGGGCTTTGACACCCCCCCCAGGACAAGCTGGGCATTAACCCCCCAGTTTTAACCCCCCCGGGACAGCCTGGGCACACATCCCTGCGCTTTAACCCCCCCGGGACATTAACCCCCCCCCCCCCAGGACAGCCTGAGCATGCAACCCCTGGGTCTGCCCCCCCCCGGGACACCCCAATGATGCCCCCCCTGTGCATGCACCCCTGAGCACTGACCCCCCCGGACAGAATGCATATGCTCCCCCTGAGCATGCACCCCCCCAGGACACCCCAGGGGTGTCCCCCCCGAGCATGCACCCCCCAGGAACACCCCATATAAGCCCCCCCCGAGCATGCACCCCCCCGGGACACCCCAGGGGTGCCCCCCCCCGAGCATGCACCCCCCAGGTAACACCCCATATAAGCCCCCCCCGAGCATGCACCCCCCCGGGACAGCCCAGGGGTGCCCCCCCCAAGCACTGACCCCCCAGAAACACCCCATATAAGCCCCCCCCCGAGCATGCACCCCCCGGGATAGCACTGTCATGCCCCCCCCCAGCATGCACCCCCCCCGGGACACCCCAGGGGTGCTCCCCCCACCCCGGCCGTGCACCCCGGGACACCCCCGTCCCCCCCCCGCCGCCCCCCGCCCGCTCTCACCATGCCGGGGTCAGCGCAAAGGCGGCCGCAGGAAGCGCCCCCCCACCCCGCCGCCTCTCCCCGCTGACCAATCAGATGCTGCGCTGCTCGTGATCGACAGCTCATTATCCAATGAGGAGGCAGAACCGGGAGGGGGCGGGCGCTTGCGGCGGCGCAGGGTTCCGCGGGCGCTGCCTCCTGGGAGCCGCGGGGCCGCGGGTTCGAATCCCGCTCCCGCCGCCGCCGTGCGGGGCCCGAGCCCCGTGTGCGGGACGGGGGCTGGGGGCAGTATTTGGGGGGGGTTCCCGGGGGTATCCGCGCTCCCCTACACGCCTCGACATCCGCAGCGCTGTGTGTTTGCACCCGGGGCTGTGCGGTGCCCGTCCCAGCACTTGGCACCCTGGAGATTTGGGTGTGCAGGTTTTTTTTTTGGGGGGGGGGGGGGGCAGCTCCAGCCCCGTGCCCCCCCCTCGGACCCTGGGGTTGGGACCTCGCCCTCGCACTTTGAGCATCTCCCCTGCATCCTGCCCAAATCTTCCTCGCGAGATAAATCAGTGCTTTGAGCTCATTTGTGTCCCATAAATGACAGAGGTGGGCACAAGGGGGGGGGGGGGGACAGAGGTGGGCAGTGGCACCTTGGGGTGGGGGCACCCCCTCTAGAAAAGGGGTCTCTGCACTGCGAACTGCCCCGTGCACAGCTCCCGGGACCACAGGAAAGATTTGGGACCCCAAATCCTTCCAGCACCCGTGTCACAGCGGGGTCTGTGTGTGTTTCATCCACCCTGGGGGGCGTTTCAAGCCCTGCCTTGCCAGCAGCCCCCATGGTGGGGGGGGGGGTCCCGGGGTGCTGGTGGGTGCCCCCCGGTCCTGGCAGGGTGCTGAGGGCCCCCAGGGGTTGCCATGGATATCGGAGCTCCCTTGGCCTGGGATGCGCTTCCCGCTAGATGTCGCCTCCGCCCGTGCCCCGAGCATCCCTGGTGGGTTGGGGTACCGGGGAGGGGGCAGCGGCATCCCCCCCAAAAACCCCCCTCCAGGACATCCTGAGCACTCAGCCCTCATTGCGTCCCCTCGCCTGGAGCCGAGCATCCCTTCCATTGATGGGCAGAACTCATGGGCTACGGTGCCAAAAAGCCCCCAGCACCCCCATCCCAACTGTGGGGTGCCCCCAGCCCTGAGCAGAGCCCCTCAGCACCTTCCCTGGGTGGGCACCAGTGGGGTCCCGACCCCTCCAAGGTCCCCAAGCCCTTGTAGTGGCTATGGGGGCTTCACAAACCCCGCTGTCAGCACCTCCCTGGAACGAATGCGGGGGCCCCGAGAGCCTGGCAGCCCCCACAGCGTCGCCTTTCAGCTCCAGGCAGACACAAAAAAAAAGAGGGAAAGGCGAAAGATGGATGCTCGGAGCACCCCAGCCCCGCCGCCCTGCTCCGGGACACAAAAGCCCCTTTGAGGACTGATTTTACACCGCTCCCTCCTCCTGCCGGGGATGCCCGAATTAGCATCAGCAATAAGGAGCTGCCTCGACGGGAGGTGCTCGGTGCCGCTGGGAAGCCACCAAATTTTCGGTGTCCCCAGCCCCGTGCGCAGCGAGGGGGTGCCAGGCCCAGCAATGTCCCCGTGGGTCCTGGGGGGACGTTTCCTTGCAGGAAGGGATGGGGCTCGGCGGCCGTTGCGCCCACCCCGATGGCATTGGGGCATCCAAGTTTCCATGAGTCCCATGGCCAAGGGGGGTCCCCATGGATTCTGGAGACCCCCACGGGTGCTGGGGACCCCGTGGGTGCTGGGGACCCTCTTGGGGACTTTCCACGCCGGGGCAGCTGGAGGGGCCGCCGGCGGCCGTCCCGTTCCCCCTGCCGAAGTTTTTCCATTTCGCACAAAGGCGGCGGGGCTGCGGCGGGCATTGTCCGGGCTGCATTGCATTACCCAGGGCTCCCGGAGAAATCACTTGTATTTCACGCTCCATTGAGCAGCTGCCTGTATATATTTTCTGTGTTGCACTTTTAGCATGACAAAGGGAGAGGGCCTGTGAACTCCTTGCTCTTCAGACCTCTCCGACACGTCCCCCCGAGCGGAGCCCCCCTCGGTTAGCATAACAAACTGCCACGCTCCCTCTTGGACGTGCTCCGGCTCTCTCTTCCCCCCCCCATCTCCAACCCCGGCCCCTCCCGGGGTAATTTAATGTAGAGCTCAATATTTGGGCGTCTGGGATGCTGGCGGCGGCGGCGTGCGGGCGGGCAAGCGCGTGCTGGGGCTGCGGAGGCGGGCAGCATTTCGGCGAGGGCGTCCTTCCACTGCGTCCGCCTGGACCCGTGCTGAATTTCAGTGGTTGACAGAAAGTTTAAAGGGTGTCGGGGGATCCCCGGGGGGGCACGGAGACCCCACGGCCCCCCGTGGACCCAGGAGTGGGTCTGGAGTTTGGGCGTCCCAACACCGAGCGAGACGTGAACCTGAGCTGAGCGTGTGCTGCTGGTTCTGGAGCTGCAGGGGTTGGGTTTGCAGGCTCTGGGGTTAAGGCAGGAGCTTGAAATGGGATTTGGAGATGGGTAAAAGGAAGATGGGGAGATTGGGAGGGTTTGGGGACCCTTGGCACAAGCTGGGGCTGCTCCCACCAGTCAGTGCAGTGGGTGCTGGCGGTCTGAGCGCTCGGTGCTCCCCGTTTGCACGAGCTGTCCCTCCCCAAAGGACCCCCGAGGGTGCCAAATTTGTTGTGGCCAGGCTTTGGTGAAGGGGAGCCAGAGCCCGCTCCCAGATTTGGGTTGTGGAATAGGGGAAGAGGAGCGAGCACAGGAGAGGTGAGAGGTGCTGGACCCCGCTATGCCCGGCGCCGTGCCGTGCCCTGCAGCGTGGTGGCCGCTGCCATCGGGGGTGGCTGGGCACAAAGCGGGGCTCGTGCAGGGACATCTGGGCTGCTCCTGCCTCCTGCCAGCCCCAAAAGGCTGGGACACCCCCCCCCTTCAAGACCAGGACCCCCCCAGGGGTGGGATTTGGGATGTTCTGCGAGAAAAACTCTGCTCAGACATAAGCAACGTGAGGGAGACCAGGTTGTGACACTGCTGTAGGTTTGGAACACCTTTAATACGCTTGGGTTTGGGGTTTTGTTTTTTTCCTTTTCACCTCGTTGAGCTGCAGACCTCATCCCCCGATGCCTCGGGCTCAGTGGCTCCATGGCCTGGGACCCTCCTGGGCACGCCTGGCTCCAGCCACGGGGACAGAGCAAGCCCTTACCCTTGGGGACGGGATGGGAAGGGCGTCTGCACGGCCCCTGACCATTTTGCAGACCAAACCTCGTCTCTTCTCCAAACTTTCTCAGCCGTCCGCATCGCACGGTGTCCACTCACGTCACCTGTTAATGGGAGAAACTGGTGTGAGCCCGGGATGGGCACTGCCAAGCTCCCACCACAGCAAGGACAGGGGTGGCCAGGAGGTGACCGTGCCACCACCCCGCTGACTCGCTGCCTGAACCATTCCTGGCTTTTTTTTTTTTTTTTTTTTGGCAAATTTTAAGCTGAGAGATTTGCAGGAAAGCTGGGTCCCTGCCCCAAAATTCCTCACCGAGAGCTGTGCTTCACGACGGGTTGATGGCAGAGAGGTCCTGACCCTCACGTTGTCCCCGGGGAGCGCGGTGCCATGTCGTCACCCGTGTCCTCGTCCCCACGAGTCACCGGTGGGGGTCCCGGCACCCTGCCCATGGTGCTGGCAGAGCCCCCTTCCTGCGGGTGGACATGCAGAGCGTTAGCATCCCAGTTTCATCCCCCATTCCTTCCCCACCCCGTTTCCCTCATGAAGCCTCCCCCGTTTGTAGGGCCCGAGCCCAAATTCGCTCGTTAATTGCCCGGCCGAGGCGTCTTTGTGTTCTCCCTTCACGTTCAGCCGTCGCCGTTGCTTTATGGGGTGCTAAACCTGCGCTGACAAGTGCTGCATGGCATAAATCCCCACAAAGTGCTTGCTCCCGCTGCCTCACCCTGCCCTGATCCCTACCTCCAACAAGATTTGGGGGTTGGGGTCCATCTCCTTCCCTACCGACCCTCCAGAGCCTGCATGGGGTGGGGACTTGGTGCTCCGTTCCCCGTTCCCGTCGGCACCGCGCACACCGGTGCCCTTCGTGGCGCACTGTGGGTGCACTGTGGGTGTGCGCATTGCTCAGCTCGCCCCCTGCTCCAGCAGGAACATTGCACGGGGGAAAGCTCCTCCTCGGTGCTTTTACACTTGGGTTTTGCCAAATCCCTGCTGGGATCTCCCTCGGGGACGCAGCGAAGCCGCCGGGGTGCAGGGAGGCTGCTTGGTGCCGGAGGAGCCCCTACAAACCCAGGCGTTCTGCGAACCCATCGCTTCCCACCACGATCCCACCTCCAGCCCCTTTTTTTCCGGCTCTCTTGGCTGACAATGCCACGTCTGTGCCCGATCTCAAAGGAGCCTTGTCCGGGGGCTGCAGATGCCGCGGATCCCCCCGGATCGGGGGCGGCCCCATTGCTCCTGCTCCCTTATGGGATCGGGGCCGTTTGGGAGCTTGGGGTTCGAAGCGGAGCTTGCTCTGCCTTCGTGTCACCAAGGGGGTCCCCGTGTGCCTCCCCCCTCTGCTCACTTGTATTATCCGAGAGCCCTTTATCGTACGAGACTGCTCCGGCTGAGCTTTTGTGCAGGAAAAGGGGGCTGGGATGGGGCTCTCAGCAGATCCTAAAGGCACTGCAAACCAGAGGGACTCGATCCCGCTGCCCTGCGCAGCGCGAATTATTTGGTAAACTCAGGTGTGGTTTGGGCAGGAAAACCACTATTTATTTATTGAAGCGCTCAGCTCATTTCTCTTCTCCCTAACAAAGATTTTGGGGAACTTTGGGGCCTCTCCGCTCCCTGATGGGATGAAAACGCAACCTGCTGTGATCGCCCCAGCTGCTCAAGGGGGGACCTCGTGGAGAGCTGCTGGATCCCACCTGGAGATAAGGACACGAGTGGGCGATTTGCTGTCCCAAACCAGGCTTTGTGGCACAGCTCAATCGCTGCGGGGACAACAACCCCGTGAGATGTAGCCGCGGTGGCTTTGGGGGAAGGCGGCTGCAATGTGGGAATTGGGGTGCTCGGGGGGTTGGGGATCCCATCCTGGTCCCTCCTCCCCGGCTGCTCTGCCCTGGGAAAAGCCGGGCTGGGAACAGCTTGAGTGTCCGAGCGGGGAATTCATTTAAATAAATTTCCATAGGGATTAATTTTGCTCCTTCCCAGCAGCACGGCGGAGGCGAGCGGAGCCCGTTGCTGCGTGCGTGCATGAGAAAAGCTGGGTCTGCTTTGGGGGAGCTGCAGGGGCAGGGGTCCGGGGGGCAAAACCTGCTCCCTGCAACCCCAGCCACCCTTATTGCCCTCCAGCTCTGCACCCAAGGGTGCTGGGACCCCTCTCTCTGGGTGACACAGCCCTGTCCCTGGCAGCTCCAAAACCCTCCTGGTACAGGGGACGGCCACCCAGCGGGGGCTTTTTTTTGGGGGGGGAACCAAAAAACCACCCCGGCCAAAGGGGTGCGAGAGCCGCCAAAGGAAAGCTGAAGGATTTTGGATTCAAAGCGCGCGAGGGGTTCAAACAACTGGTGTAAATAAATCAGGGCTGCAGAACGCTTGGAAACGAGCAGAGCGGCAGCTATTTTTAGCTGTCAGATTTGGGAGTTTTTAAGACTCCTTCAGGGCACGAACTACTGCAAGAATTAGTTACCATTGCAGCAAAATAAAAGCCCAGGAGGAAGATTTTTCATCCTCCTCCCGGAGAGATGGTGACAGGGCCACGGCGCGGGCCAGCTCCTGCGCTGGGGCACGATCCCTGCTCCAAGAGGGGGGCTTCCCTTCGCTGGGGACGGGCAGGGGGACGCATTTTGCACGGTGGCTTTTGGCAGAAGAAAGGCAAAACGGGTTAGGAACTGGCCCCCAGTTCAACGCTGCCGGCACTGAATTAGGAAACACACGACCGGAGGTGCCCACCGAACACCCGCGTGAAGGACGAGGCTGCTTTTGAGCCGCCCGAGGCTCTTTTGCTACGAGATGCAAAGGGAAATTTCGCAGGACGCCGAAGATTTTTGATTATGAATTGGAAGAGGGAGCGCGGGAGCGCACGCGGCCATCCAGCATCGCATTGAATTCCGCCTGTCCTTGAGCAGAGAGAAGGAGACGGCGGCTGCTTTCTCTTCCTGCTTCTTTTTAAGCGCAATTTATTCACAGTGAAGCCGTGGTGGAGAATAAAGGTGTTTACGTGGCGGTGAATGGGGCGCGCTGGCACCGAACACTCGCACCCAGGCATAAAAGCACCTCCCGGCATCGGCACAGGTGACCCGGGGTTGGTTAGTCATTGGCAGATGGAGAACTTCAGGGGAGCTCAAAACGGCCTTGAATATTAGCAAAACCCCCGTGCTAGAGCTGCCAGGGGGCTTCTGCCCGTGGAAATGCTGATGGTGGGCTCTGGGGTGGGAAACGGGGGCCCTGAGTAATTCCTGGTGCTTGGAGCTGAGAGATCCCCCTGCAGGGTCCTGCCCCAGGAGCCTGCCACTGCTCCCAAGTGTTTTTTTTTTCCATCGAGGATCGGTATTTTGGAATTGAACCTGTTCCTGCAAAATGCTGAGAGTAGTGCAGAACGTCGCCGGGATTTTTGAAAATTAAAAAATAACATTTTTTAAACCTAAAAAATAACCTTTGCTCCTGGGTTTTCTGCGGGAATCCCAATTTTGGAGTGTGTCGTCACCTTTGGGAATGGGCACGAGACGTCACCCCGTGGCTGTGGGGGTCGGGCAGCTTTCCCAGCACAGCTCCCACCTCCCCGAATCCCTCGCCCTGCTGCAGTTTGACCTCACAGCACTGCCACCACCCAGCTGCCACCAGCTTTTAGGCACAATTTAAATCGAAACCTTGACCAAATCCCGACCCTTGCTGGGTTTACACTCAGGAAAAGTCCCCTTGCCTCCAGTGCAGGCACTCACTTGGATTTCCAAGGTGTGAGTGCCCAGAGGTGCCTCCACACCTTGGTCTAACCCTGTCCCCTTACCCACTGGGCTGGGTTTAATCCCAGGACCTTCCTGGGGAAGGAGGGAGCTCACAGCATCGTCCTGGCGAGCGCTGTGCCCTGCCTGCCTTCGCTGCCCCGGGTGCATTTCTTGGAGTTATACGAATTAGAGAACAGTTCGGTTGGAAGGGACCTTCAGAGATCATCTAGTCCAGCTGCTTACTGGCCTCGTTTGCTTTTCATTCGTTAAGGAGATGCCCCAGGACCCTTCCCCAGCGCTGGGCTGGCAGGGAGAGGTGCACAGCCCCCTGTTTGCAGGAGGAGGCTCTGTGCACCCTCACCTCCTGTTCCCCGGGGCCCCGCGTCCCCGGCACGGGACTGGCACCGCGGTCGGTCCCGGCTCCGTCCCCGTGCTGGGGACCCGGACCGTGGGGCAGTGCCCGAGCAAGACGAGCAGAATGAGAGCGTAAGGCAGAGCTCAGCATCGGTGCAGAGGTTCTCCGCTCTTTGCCATGGAAACAGGCGTTGCTAAGGGATTGCCTAAGAGGGAGCAAAATATTCTAAAATCCAAGTTTGCGCGGCAGCGGGATTCAACTCCCCGGCTTGGTTTCGGTCACCCTTGGAGCAACCCCACAGCAGCCAAAAGCCCTGGTACCCCCCCCTAGATCGGAGAAACCCCCAGCATGGGGTGGGCTGAGCATGGGGCAGGGGTGCTGGGTGATTCTGGGGGACCACGGGCACCCCAGCAGCCCCAGCATGACCCCAGAGCAGATCCTGCTCTGGCACAGGGCTGTGGGCACCCTTTAAAGCAAGCACATCAATTATTGCACTTAGACAAACTCAAAAAAAAGAGTCCCCAGCCCCTCCTGGTGGTGGGGCAAGGCTGGGCTCTGGCACGGTGCCTCAGTTTCCCCTCCTGCACGATGCATCCGGGCACGGCCACCCCGTGGGCTTTGCACCGCGCTGCCACCGGGACAGCCGGCATCCTCCGGCCAGCAACACCCGCTTAACTTTATTTTATGGACACGAGAAAACGGGCTGGGGGGGGAATAATACACGCGGGGGCCACCTCTGACCTTGACCCCCATCCTCACTGCCCGCAGCAGCTGGGCCGGCGGCTCAATGCACGCTTTGTCTGCGCCCACCGGCCCCGCGCAGCGCTGTCGCCCCATATAATATTTATGGAGCTGGCGGTCACATTCTCCCCCACTCCGCTGCTTGCATCCGAAAAAAAAAAAAAAAGAAAAAAAAAAAAAGCCGGGCACAGGATCGGGGGAATTATTTGGGAATTTATACGCCAGCGAGTTGCTGCTCTTTGGCTGGTTGCCCCGTGGGGTGCGGAGGTGCGGAGCCTGCCCTGCGCCCCTGGGACCGCTGATGGGTGCGAGGAATGCACCCAGCTTGATTACGTGCCAGGTTTTCTTTCGTAAAAAATAAATAAATTAAACATAAAAAGTTGAAAAGCAAACAGGTGTAGGGTTTTTTTTTTCTTGCTTTTCCTAAATCTTGCAAAACCGCTCTGCTCCTGAACCAGCTCTGGGAGGTGGGAAAGGTGGGGAAAAGACGTTGCTGATTTGTTTTCCTGCATTTCTGTTCACTGCCTAATTCCTACACTGATTAAAACAAAAGCAAAGGGGCAGAGTGCCCCATCTCCCATCTCACCTCGTGTCTGCAGCCCTGGGTGGGGGTTTGGGGCTGCCCCCAGCCCACCCGAGTCCCTCCAAAGCCTCGCTCAGCTCCCGG